TGACCCGCTCCTTCATTTAATTAATATCTATGATAATCCTTAATTATTCCTAACCAACTTCAAAGGCGAAGAATTCTATTTTGGAATATCAGAATCAAATATGTTTTAATTACGACATACTTCATTAATATCTAAAACTTAATATAATTATTATTAATCTTACTATTATTATTAATTATTAAATTTATACCCATTCATGTTGTTTATTTACAACAGTTTGTGTGATATTAATACAGAAACAATATTTCTACTACTATCACACAAATAAAGATTTAATCATAATTAATAATTATTTATAAATGTTCTAACTATGTAATTTCTTCACTTTACTAATATTATTGCTTCAATCATGTCAGACAAATACAAAAATTTGAGATAAATACAGAATGTGTTTATTCTATACTATCACACAAATAAAGATTTAATCATAATTAATAATTATTTATAAATGTTCTAACTATGTAATTTCTTCACTTTACTAATATTATTGCTTCAATCATGTCAGACAAATACAAAAATTTGAGATAAATACAGAATGTGTTTATTCTAATACTTCTACAAATAATATTTAATTTTCAATCACACACAGAAAACTTTATAAAGATATACTAGTAACATTTATCTAATAAATGCGCATTACTAATATTTTTGCTATGTTAAATACAAATCATTGTGATTATATAACTGTTATGTCAAACTCAATTTTTAAATTCTGTATCTTTCCATTATAACGACTCTATTTAAATGAAATAATTTCATGAAAATTAAGCGATTAATGGAGACATCAATTTGGATTGATTATTATATTTCCATTACCTAAGCTTGAACTCAATGAATCCTGCCAAGCTTCGTGCTGCGTGTACCCCGCTTCTTCCATTCATATGGTTAATCAAACATCTTTTAACGCTAATCACCGTTTAGGTAACGGCTAAATAAAACTACTGAAAAGTGTAAATTTCAATTAATAAGTTTGACATAATGGAAATTATAAAGTTTATTGTTACTAGATAATATCTTACGTAAAATCAAGTTAGGCTATATTGTAAAGTTCTTCGGTGTATTACACTTGTAAATAAAATAATAATATAATTCTCAGTATAGTATTAAGAACAGAATCAAGCATTTATTATGAATGAAAATACAACGAGAACACTTAGTGGCGTGTGTCAGAATGTTGAACCACGCTTCTCTTAAAGTAACATGGTGAAGAAAACAGTTATAATGCTTGTTTATTTATTTGTATAGGGATTAAAGTTGTACTAATCTGTATGCTAAGTTAAGTTTGTTAATTTTGCATCTGTAAAATTTTGTCTATGATTTGTAGTCTGTATTAATAAAAAACAAAAAGTGTTATTGGTTGTAAAGACTAGGCGGCATGGTTGAAAGACTATAGCCTGCGCCATGGGCGAAAATAAAAAAAAATGTATTGGTTGTAATAAGCAAATTAAAAACGTTTCACGTAATTCTTTTAATAGAAAAATATATTTATGACTAAGCATTATAATGAGTGCAATAACCGTATGTAAATGTCAAGTCGTTATTATAGACCATCAAAGCTAGGTCAAATCAAGTGCATAGGAAAGTACAAGTTAATGTTCGCATGAATATAATATATTTATGTCTGCAAAAAGTCTGTGTTGCAAATCATTATTTTCTGCCTTGATTCAAGAAATACTATGTTTGCGTGTTGTTCCCAAAGTCCAAACATTTTGTAAAAAAACCTTAGCGGTTTCTTTTTATTTCTTATTTATACGTAATCCCACAGCTTACAAAAATAATATATAATAACAAACAATTACACTAAAACTATAGCCAGAGATAGAATACATAAGATTTACATACAAAAAGGTTCAAATATTTACAAAATCGAAAAAAATAATACAAACAGTGACGGAATGTATTGCCAGTTCTTCTCGTCTGTTCTACGCCTTGAGAACAGGCAGTAAATGATAATTTAGAACCATTATTATTTACTGACGTTCGTAACGTACATTAAGTTATCTATATTAGAACTTTAAAAAAATATCACATATGACTCGGTGACTAATACTTAATAGATTGTATTTGTTGGTATCAATTACAGAACTAGGAAACCACAAATTCTTAGAAAAATTTAAGTATTGCGAGATGATCAGAGAAGAGAAGAGAGAACCTCCTCGTTTATTGTTTACCTCTCTTCTAGGTTTATTCTAAGGGTTCACATCCTTTTTAACCGATTATATAAACAGAGGCTGTCAGTTTGAAATGTATGTAACATTGTTGGATTCACACACACTGCCAAAAGACTCGTAAGTGAGTTTTCTTGAAGGATCCGTCGAATTTGTTCGGAAATACTTCAGTAGGTAGCAGGTTCCACATAGTAGTGGTGCGCGGCTAAAACTGTCTTATAGACGCTTATAACAATTCCGGTATAGTATTTACAGAAACCAAAAATCACATCGAGATGATCCGTTTTACTTAAATCAGGCATATTTTGGGGAATAGTGCAAGTTTCGCAAAAAATGGTTTTGATATGTCTATCCACGCATTTCTTGAGGCTTCTATAGTTCTCTAAGTGAATATTTTTTCATTTTCAGTAGACAGATTACGGTACTCTATAAAAATAAACTTGCATCGTAAACAATACTTATAGACTTAACGATTTTAATTTGTTTCGACTTGAACGAAATTCGTTCAAAAGTAATATATAAACGCCAAACGATGATAAATTACTTATAAATTAGCCCATTAAGTAATAAGAAAATACCTTACTGACATCAGCTTAAGATATCTAATTCACTTATGAATGTTTACTCAGGGGCTTTGAGTAGACAGTAAGTAAACTTATAGGTGCTATTTAAGTTATTAATTTTATTATAGGCAATGATTTGTATTTAATAAGTTATCGGTAGGTTCTAGGTTTTGGTGATGTTATGCAACGTCACCACCTTCAGCCGTCACCTCCCCCAGCTCTTCAAATCAGGGCGAATTTAGCGGCTGATCACGTGGCGGCAACAAGACTACGCCTTACTGCCTCGGGCGACTGCTAGTGGTACTGTGGGTTTTAGTGGATAAGCACAGAAGTGAGTCCGACATAACCATAAGGCTCTCGCACCGCGGGGGGTATGCGTAACGTATTTCTCCTCAAAAAAAGAAAAGATGTTGCATCATCCCTGCAGCCCCCATCAAGGTCTATTTAGACCGGGTGCAGGGGGGGATGGAGGCTGCTGGGTAGGTACCGCCCTTTACGCACTGCAGGGCGCGACCTTTACACCACCTGAAGGGGCATACGCCCCAACTGAGCCTTAACCATCCTCCTCGCAAGGGACAAAATCTGCGTTCTAAGTATGATCAAAAATGTATTGGATTTTGACGGTAATAAAAGTAGGTACGTACGTCTTGAATCTTACCCAGGCATATGTTACTTTACGAGTTCAACAAATTACAAATTGTAGCTAAGAATTCATGTAAATAGCTTTTGAATTTCATATAAATATTAATAGCTATTTTGGACCGGATGTCCAATTGGCCGAGACAAAGGAGACTTTGTACATGATTCTACTCTTATGTTTAGATTTCGGCAACTACTATATAATATATGTATATTAGTCCCAGGTTTTTTTTTTAATTTCAAAGAATTTTTTCAAAAACTTTTAAGTGCTTTGGTATACGGACTAAATTTTTATGTAATTTCCCAACTTTGAGTAACAAATTGTTTTCAGCAAAGTTTGAAGTAATAATAATTTTAAAGTGACAGGTTCCTTACTTTTTTTGCCTTTATCACCCGATTTAGAATTGATATATATATATATATATATATATATATCATATTTTGAACTATATATTGTTGATAATATTTATTTTAGAAAACAAATCAATAGAAGATGATCTATTCCTACCTAATTATAGCAATAATTATTGTATATGTTTTTACATTGTATATTCGCGGATGCGTTGACCCATGCTACTTCTTCTATACAAAAAATCACCTCGAAAGCGATATTGCGGACTACTTAATTGTGAGGAAGTTGCATAGATCTGGTTAGCTCTGCACCTTTTTAAATCGTCAATTGTTTTTTTGTTCAAATAAGTTGTATTGTCCTTACTTTATGTGATGTTTGAGACCAGGAAATAAAAATATCACACGTTTGTCGCGTTCCATGTATTGAAAAAAGAAAGCAGATGATGTAGTCAGCAGGAAAACTCCTCTAAAAACATATATAGTATTTTATATGAAAACCCCATGGGAATAAAATTAATTTATTTGTGAATTTAAAAGACCTTTCTTGAGAAAGGTCTTTCTTGAGAAAGGTCTTTTAAATACGTTTTTTTTTTAGATTGGACAATTCACACCAATTGACCTAGTCCCATGCTAAGCTGGTGAAGCTTGTGTTATGGGTACTAGGCAACGGATGTACATACATATTATATATGGATAGGTAGACATATAAATACATATTTAAACACCCAAGACCTAAGCACAACACCAAATGCTCATCACATCGATGTTTGTCTCAGCCGGGGATCGAACCTGGGACCCATGGATTCGCAGTCAGGGGTACTAACCACTAGACGAATGAGCCGTAGAACGTTTTATGAGTTTTATATAGTCTGTATAAATCTTTAAAGTGATTTAAATCTTTTGTGATTGTATTATTGTATTGTATTGTATTTAATTATAAATAATAAAATATAATACACTTATTGAATTATAATGTGATTATCACAGATATTCACAATTCTTAATTGTACCAAAATAAAGCTATTTGGTTTTGAAGCATAGCTTTTAACGAATTCCAACAAATAGAAAACATCTTTCATATGTTGACAGCTAAAAATAATATTCAACGCAACCAAAAATAGCCAACGCTATGAAAACCATTCTAAAACCGGAACAGAATCCATTTTTTCCACTTCCCTATGAAACACTAAATCTCTCAACATAGGTGTAAAAAGCGCTCGTTAGTGTGAACACGGTTGAACATACTTGTGTGTGTCAATTATTCATCTGTTCGTCGATAATGGAACAATCCTGTCGGGCTCACGAAGAGCTGTCAACGCTACCCATAATGGTATACTTTATGCAAAAAGCGATCCTATTTAATAGGCTAAAGAGACAAAACCAAATAATGCTTTCTCGACATTACGTTAACAATCAACGAACTTACAATGTCATTGAATACCGACATGCAAATTCGTTTAAATTTCGAATAGTTTTTAAATTCGAAATTTAGATGGAAACAAAGACATAGATGAAGTATGCATAGAGTTCACTCGATCAAGTGCTACCGTATAACGCATGAGATAGATATTTCTTTTCTCAATTTATGCATATGCAAAACAAAGAGACAAAACCAATTAACGTTTTCCGGCATTACGTAAACAATCGATAAAGTAACAATATGTCATTGAAAACAGACTTGCAAATACGTTTTAATAGTCAAAACGTAAATTATATCAAAGATTAAATATATATAGAGTGGACTTGACCAAGTGCTTACACTTGGTATACCACATGAAACAGAAATATTTTTTTCACAAAACAAAGACAAGAAATCATGTTTCTGACCCTTTCCATAGATAATCGAATATGGATATATTATCTTTAAATTATGAATTGACGAAAAATGCTTTGCGTTTTTTGAGGTAACGTTTGCTAGTGGAAACAAAATTAAGCCACTTCCTAAGTCGAAGCTTTGGAAACAGATATAAACACTATTAAAGGAAACTAAAGTCCGTAGTCTAATTCGCATCTCAAATCAATCTCGTCTTGAGCGCTGTTAAATATATTAAATTTCATACGGAAAAAATTGTTGCACAGCTCTTGAATTAGATACAAGGTTTTATTGACGTTCTATAATACGGGCCTTGAAGAATAATTTCACGATAACGGTAATGCAGTAACATACTGTGGTATCATTTTAAAACAAGTTTTTAAAAAAATGTGGTTTACCCAACCCTTTTTAGGTTTCAGGGTAACAGGAAATATGTTTGAGGCTTCTCCTGATTGCTTACATTTAAATATTTTATTAGCAAAGGGTTTGTATGGCTTCGTTTACTAGAAATGCATAAAAATGCTTATTTTGAGCTTGATACTCGTAACACCCAAAAAGTTCGGGTGCCCTTGAAAAACTATTTTTTAAAGATTTTTTTCTCTGGTTGTTGCTGTTTCGTATTTGCACTGAATATATGTTTTTAACTCTTTAGTTTATAAGGAACTTAAAATTTGTACTGGTGTTTAACAGTCACCAAGTTAAACGCCTCAGTGTATTTTTGTACTCTTAATTTATTTATTACATATAAGCAACCATAGAAAAATATTTTTCGTAAAAAAAGTATTGTTGTTATTTAAGTTTGCTAGAACCGAACCGTGTGTAAAAAAGGAATGTCAATGTAAATCTTACACTAGCATAAATTTTGGTGGTGATGGTGGTTCCTGTTTGGTGGTGACGGTGGTGCGCTCAGGGCAACAGGAATTTCATACAAAAATTATCTTTGTTTAATGCGCTATTTGATAGTATGATTTTTTTATTACGGGTAATCTACTTTATGGAATAAAATAACTTACAAATTATCATTTATTTATACAGATAAATCGAATGGACGATGACGTATGCTTGTAAATGATGTCTTAATGACAGTTAACGCCCAAAAAATGTACGTTTGTAACAATCATGGAACGTTATAGCACTGATGCGACGCCATATTGCAAGGAAAGGCGTTTTGGCGGGTTATTATAAAAGGATTTTTAATTTCTATTTAATAAAAAAATATAATTTATTTGAGAAATTTATAGATTTCATATACAATTCTACTCATTATTGAATAAACTAAAATGTTTTTTTTAAATGTTAACAAATAGCCTATTATAGGAAAAAAATGGCTCGTAAATATTGCAGATACAAGACTCATTACTACTTATGGTGGCAGACATCTCATTCATCAATCATCATCCGTCATGAGTTAAAGCAATGAACCCGCCTCCGCAGTCCGCAGAGCTCGATTTCAACTCGAGAATTCAACCAATTTTAAAAATCGAATGAAAATCGTAAATTCAAATTAAGAACGCATCATCAATCTTGTTAGTGGTTAAGTTTAAATTTTATAACTTCGAACGCTAAAATTAAAGACAAACGAATAAATTGAAAATTCAAACTAAACCATGTTAGATGTGGCGAAAGATCAAGACTTTTACAGAAACTTCAAATAAAGAAAAAGTATAGTCGAAAGTATTCAACCTACCCATACTGTTGATGAAAAAAATGCAAAGTTTTTATACTCCGCAATACGCAGACTAATCAAAGAAAATAAATTTCGTGAAAATAAGTAAGTTTAAATTATTATATACTTAATACTTATTACAACCATTTAGCTACATTTCAAAATAAAACTACAATATAAACCATAAACATATTCGATTTTATGTTAAGTACGCCTCATAAAAAGTAAGTATAACTTAGTTTCCACATATATCGTCATAAAGCATTTACAAGCTATAGTCGTTTCTAGCGGCAATTAAAACTTAAACTTTTAACGGCGTACTAAAGTTTCGTACTAGGGTTATTATTGTCCATAACTTTACACGATATTGTTATATGTTATAACAAATAGACTGGTCTCTTCTACTGTTTTCTCCAACAGCTAAGTTAAGCAGGCCGTGGTCTTGGGTTCGAATCACGGCTGCACCAATTCACTTTTCTTTCTCTTTTCCAATAACTACTAGCTCGTACTGTTGGGGTAACATCGTAAGGAAACCGGCCTTACACTTAAAAAGCTTGCGCAGGAGCATAAGGCTAATTGTACAGATGCAGAATTCTGTGGTCAGATCTAGCCATTACTGGTTTTTTATAAGTGTGAAAAGCAATATTATGTTCATAGTTATGTCATATTATTCTTTCAGGTCGAGAGATTCCGGGACAGAATGTCGTATCAGTCGCACCTATTGAAGTGCCCGACGGTATGTATAACATATAATATAATTTTACATAGTTAAGGTACTTAACGTTTTGTATATTCTGTTGAATCAGGTATTTCTCCATATGGTCTAAGATCCCGCTATACAACGACCTTCACCGAGATGCTTATTTAATGAAACTTATTTTATATATAATTTAATATGTCAATAAATATAATCCATATGGGTTGCCTAGCAAATTTCAGTCCAGAGTATTTTTAATTAATTTAAAAAAAAAATATTTTTTTAAACATTTCACCGGCATGATTATTAGATAAATTTTATACCAATCGAAAGTATGAAGCCCTTAGAATATGCAAAAGTTAGGTTGTTTTTAATCAATTAATTATTTATGTGTATATTTTTTATGTGACACTAAAGTATACGTATATACATCTTTAGTATAAAAACAGTTTTTAGTGATACATATATAATACTACCCTGATTAAAAATATTGATTGAAAAAAGTTCAAAAAATTTACTACATGCAAATTATAAAACAATTTTTTTTTTTTAAATATTAATTAAACATACTCTGGACTGAAATTTGCTAGGCAACCCATATGGATTATATTTATTGACATATTAAATTAAATATAAAATAAATTTCATTAAATAAGCATCTCGGTGAAGGTCGTTGTATAGCGGGATCTTATACTAATACATAAATGTATAAGTAAGCGTATACAACTATAAAAAATACTAATTGTACCCACAGGTTAAATGTGAAAGGTTGGCGGACTCAGTTTCCGAACATACACTCTCATTAGGTCCGTTGTGAGAAATTATACCCACATTTATCCACAAAATAATTTCATGTTGACTACTTATTAAGTCAAATGTCGTAAGTTTTGGACGCAACAAATAGATTACGATTTTAGAACGTGTGGGTACCCACGCATATACCATAATGACTTTCCAACGACACATTTTAAGTTATATTTTTAAAAAATATCACCGTTTTTGTGATTGCATATTGTACTACCGACATTCAATAGTTTACCAGATTTTTCATTGTAACTTAAAGGTGGTGCTGCATACTGGTATATAAGCAAAGTAAAAAGTAGTAAAGTAAAATATTTATCTTGCACTTGTTAAAGACTTGGACAATATAATATATGAAATAAATAAAGTAATAATAAATGGACTCATAGGTCAATTAATGGCCGATGGCTGGCCATGCGTCATGCTCGTGAACGGGTGCTACTTGTGGTGACTGGTCGTACTTGAATTCGTGTATGCGGTGATGTTAATTATTTCGACTATGTGTTTGCGAGTTGTTCCCACGAGAATGTAAGTGCGTGCTCCTATTTCGACATGCCTCCTGCTGATAGAGGACAACTCTTTGTTTTTAATTTATGTTATTATTATTAATTACTTAAGATATCATGTGGAACATGGTTTAATGGTTGCAGCTCCTTACAAACGTTGTGTAAGAAAAAAAAAAAAAGATGGCGATTAAAAAGAGTGGCGGAGAGTTTATTGCCAGTTCTTCTCTTCCGTTCAACGCCCTTGATTTGAGAACTGGCACTAAATGTAAAATTAGAAGCATTAATATTATGTATTTCTTTACTGACAAGTCATAAGTGTACAATGTGTTACCCATATGATTAAATGATTTTTGAATTAGTTAATATAATATAATAATTTAAAGGAATATATTCTTTACAAGACTGCTGCTAATGTTATATTTTATTTATGCTCTCAAACACACACACAATACTCAACACACAAACACTCTCACACATACTAAAACGAGGACAATCAAACAATTACATCAGTGTGAAAATGACATTAGAACTTATTAGGCGCAGCGAATCGAATAGAACAATATCGCGGACACACATCCTATATGACAACAAGAGTGCATGTCCAATTTTATTATTATTTTCTTATAGTGTATAATAAATAAATGTTAAAAATATATTAATTATAATTCCATAAACAACAAACAAAGGTTTTACAAAGACCCATTATTTCAGACAGACTTCGTACGACAAAATAAACATAAAATTAATGGAACCAGCGAATTAAAGAAACTATTTGTCATTCGACTTTGGTTACCATACGAGCTTGTACAGCTGTTATTTCTCAACATTAATTATTCCAATGGCGCTGGTGCTACAGTTGTAATTCTCTCTAATTAGCGCCTCCACAATATATCTTTGATATATATGACGTTAAGTATGTATAAATTACGGCTAAACAACTTAACTTGGTCTGACAATCGGTCGTGATTATTTTTTAATTAAATTAATAAAGCTCTTTAATTTTTATTAAAAGACAAATATTATCTTAGTAAAGATATTACCCGTTGTCCTCGTTATGATTTAATTATTTTATTGTATTTGCAACGAAATGTTAAATAAATAAACAAAAATTTTGACCGCAATAAGAAGAGCTGATAAGTGGAGACAGTATACATGAGTCGAAGTGGACTGGGCAAGTAGTAAGGAGAACTGGTCCATTAATCTAACAGAATGGTCTCCAGATTATGGAAAGCCTGAGCGATGGGACGATATTCACAAAAATCATGGGAAATTTGTGGTGGATGATAGCAAGTGGAGAAGAGTGGGGGGGGGCTTTGCCACTTGGCAAGTGGAAGAGGAGCTGGTGCTAGATATAATATCATTAGAATAAAAGCTAATATTGTAATTACTTTACTATTCGAATAAAAGACTTATTAATTAGACATTTTGTAGAGTGAACCAATAATGCAGTCCTTATCGTTATTTGGGCTAAATTTCTTTATAGAAATAACCTGGAACACCATATCATATACCTTCGACTCTTTTACCAGTGGAGTTAATTGTGTTATCATAACTAAATAAACCGCAAAAAGGATTTACAGGACAAACTTTAATAATAATTATATAAATTATTAAAACTAAGACTATTGCTGCTAGTCCAGTCAAAATAGGCATTTGACTTAGCCAAAATTCGCATAGAGCTGAAAATTGGCAGAGACGTTAAATACGTCATTATAAATGAAATGTCAAAAATCCCCTTCGATCCTACTTCTGCAAAAAAAATTATTCAAGGTCAAAAGTATAAAATTAAGGTTTTTTCCATTTTTCTCGAAAACAGTTAGTATTATCGTGAAAATAGATCAGACAAAAGTTGTAGATCATACAATTCTCTACAAAAATGATTCAGTCACTTTTTCTCTTACGACTCACCATTCATGAGATATCGCGGTTTTAATCATTAGAAAATTCATATTCTACATAATATGCACACATTTCCGCACCACCTATGAGGTAATGTACTTGGCGCATTTTTTTTAACGTGATTTCCCCAGTAGGTATACTCCACGATCTATTGTAATAAAGAAAGTTTGATCAGATCGTATCCTATTAATTGAAAGAATAGTAATATTGCTAATGATTAAAGTGGAATAGGTTGTTTTTTTCTACATGTCATTATATAAGATAATTGTCTAATTCTACTTCAACAATTATTTCTTCGTCTTCATTCTCTTCTTCTTGCAGAATTTCTGTTTGCTGTTCTAAAAATAAGTCAAGGACTCCGGAATATCGCTGTTAATATTTTCAAACATTTGACTCGGCGGGGGATAATTATCATTATCAATCACTACAGATTGAATATCCTCTCGAATAATTGCTGCAGCAGCTTTCAATATTCTGAATCGTTCTTCGTTTGTATTTTGTTTTTTATTTTCATACCAAGCTTTATTAAGAATATCGTACTGATTATCAATAAAACAGATAATTGTTAAGCTTCCTTTCTTCTCAGTTATAATAATTTTATCACCATACTTTAACTTTAATCTTCTTTTAATTGTTTTATTATCTATAGTTGGATTTTTGCCGATATCTTTCAATTCTTGTAATGAAAATTGGCAATCATCATTATTTTCAATGTACTGAAATATTTCCTCCATCGCCAAGTTTACTGAATCATCTTCGGGACGACCGACTTTATATCCCGTGGTAGGTCTCAGAAAGATATTATAACAGTTATTGTGGTACTTAGCTTCAGCAGCAACTAAGTCAAATTCATACCCAATGCGGGCAATAACAGCTTTTGCTACGTCATCAGAACGAGTCCGAGCTACCTTTAAAATGGAATCTTTAAATTCAAGTGTTGATACGTTATAAATTTTACGACGAACATTCTGCGCTTTCTTCTTTTCAGCTTCTTCATTTGCTTCATCGCCGCAAAATAAACAACATTGAGTGATTGATAATGATAATTATCCCCCGCCGAGTCAAATGTTTGAAAATATTAACAGCGATATTCCGGAGTCCTTGACTTATTCTTAGAACAGAAAACAGAAATTCTGCAAGAAGAAGAGAATGAAGACGAAGAAATAATTGTTGAAGTAGAATTAGACAATTATCTTATATAATGACATGTAGAAAAAAACAACCTATTCCACTTTAATCATTAGCAATATTACTATTCTTTCAATTAATAGGATACGATCTGATCAAACTTTCTTTATTACAATAGATCGTGGAGTATACCTACTGGGGAAATCACGTTAAAAAAAATGCGCCAAGTACATTACCTCATAGGTGGTGCGGAAATGTGTGCATATTATGTAAAATATGAATTTTCTAATGATTAAAACCGCGATATCTCATGAATGGTGAGTCGTAAGAGAAAAAGTGACTGAACCATTTTTGTAGAAAATTGTATGATCTACAACTTTTGTCTGATCTATTTTCACGATAATACTAACTGTTTTCGAGAAAAATGGAAAAAACCTTAATTTTATACTTTTGACCTTGAATAAAAAATTTTGCAGAAGTAGGATCGAAGGGGATTTTTGACATTTCATTTATAATGATGTATTTAACGTCTCTGCCAATTTTCAGCTCTATGCGAATTTTGGCTAAGTTATGACTTATTTTTGTCTATTTTGACTGGATTATGCAGTGTTTAATTAAAAGGAATAAGTGCTGTCGTCTTATAACAACAATATAATATATATGTCAACGTAAAATTGTAAAAACCGTTAAATTGTAATCTATCTCGCGAGATTGTAAACTGTCGAAAAATTGTGAACTCAACGTATTGCTTACAATTTAACGTATTATTATTCGGTAGATTATAATCTATCGAAGTGAAATCGTCAAATTGTGAAACGGTACGCACCTCGCGCGCTGATTGGTTGAACAGAATATGCCACGCGCTGATTGGTTGAACGGAATATGCCATGGTGGAGACCATATTTGTTTGTTAATTCGTTTGTTGTCGAATGTAAACAAACGGTGTTTTGGTGAATGTAAATTGATGTCGTCTTGAAAGTAACTCACAGCTTTAGGATGTTGAAAGTGAACGTGAAAAGTTATATGAAAATGTTGTGGAAGTAAAATTAATCTGTGATTGACCAAAGAAGTGCAGTTTGAATGATAATTAAGTTAGTGTTGGTCTCCAAACATAGTCTAAATTACATACATTTTCCGTGTTTTAATATTTTTTATTCGCGTGAACCTTTGTGATCTCGTATTTACAATGTCGGATATTGAGCCTGTCGATCAACAAAACTCAGAAATATTAGGTATTGTTAATAAGGAAGAATTTACCATAGAGTTACAAAACTATTACAGCGGGCATAATGAAAATAGTAAAAAATTTAATTGCAAAGAAATAAAAATAAAGCTAATGTTCATTGTAACTCCAGGTGCCACAACTCGTTGACGTGCAACAATAATTGAAAATTTTTATTGATGCAATTTACTTTCTTATTTTTTATATAATAGACAATTTTGTTATGTTTTCAAAAACGTTCATATGTTTTCGATTTGTTTTTTTTTTTAAATTTTGATTTTATTTTGTGATCGTTTTTTTCTAAAAGAAAATTTCATTAATTTATCAATTTTAATTTGTGTTTGAAGAGAAAATATTGTTACGTTTCTGATTTTTTTATTTTGATATATTTTCTTTTCATCATGTGATGTCAGAATTATTGATATAAAAAATACTAATTTTTGAAGTGCATTCATTTTATTTGACCGATACCCTTGTTTCATTCCTAACTCTATGGACATAATATAACGGTCTACTATAAAGCCGACCAATCAGCGTGCGAGGTGCGTACCGTTTCACAATTTGACGATTTCACTTCGATAGATTATAATCTACCGAATACGTTAAATTGTAAGCAGTACGTTGAGTTCACAATCTTTCGAAAGTTTATAATCTCGCGAGATAGATTACAATCTAACGGTATTTACAATTTTACGTTAACATATATACCACATAAAATCAATAATAAGTATAGTAAAGTTGCAAACATCAATATATACTAACTACATTTCTGTCTTTGGAGTACAGACTCTCGCAGAAGAGAGAGGACATGCTTGAGAGTTGCACTTGTACCTCATAAAAATTGTAGTTTGCTAGGTGGATTTCCGGTAACCCTGGAGCTGGTGCTATACAGCCTATAAAGAGCACAATACAACGAGGTAATGCTGCGTTAAGGGCACTCTGCCACAGGGACCAGTATTATATTATTGATTATTGTTACTTAAGAATATAAAACTTATAATATACTTGACGTTATGTAACTAATGTATACATAACGTATACGTTTCAAATACTGTGCAATAATTACATAGAGGGAAAGAATTTGATATTTAAGCTTCACGCGACATGATCGTTATCATACATACTAAAAGATGCAATGATTGCATTTTCGTAACGGTATGTAAAATTCCAGTTACGAGAATAAATATAAGCCATTAACCATTCAAATAACCATTTCCAGTGTAAAAACGAGTGATTGTTCGGCGACAAATTGTTCGCTTAGATTACTTGCGTGATAGAGGCAGTTGAGTGTTGAGCGGAAATAACACGATAACACTTATTCATAGGAAATAACACATTGAGCGTGAAAATTCCTATTATATATACAGTGTTCAAGTAGGAATATTATAGTTTTGCATAAAAGAATATGTAACTCAATATCTTTATATACTAAATAGATATTAAATAGTATAATTTATTATACTATTTTAAAATTATTTATAAAAACATAAAATGAGCGAAATAAATTTACTAAAATACGAAGCGAAAAGTTTAGAACCATATAAATTTATTCAATTATGAGATGGCGTGGAACGGTACCAAAGTATAAAAATACGTAGCAAAAACCCAAGCCGCAAAAATACATTTCGCACAGTTGTATGTAAATTACATACCTCGCAACGCTTTTAAAGGGCTCGTATATTGAGAGTTTTTAACGTGATATATTATTCCGAGCAAAAGAGTGATACAACGACAAACCGCTATTTGTCGAGGTGGGTCGGACATAAATCACGCACCCCACGCAGACACGATGGCACCGCCGTTGTGAAGGTATTTGCTCCATTTTTGACGGTAAACTCGACTGATGAAATCGCCGTGCCGATGTCAATCGGGGTGCCACTTCTGTTCCTACTAGACAAGACAAATCGTGGATGTGCATCTTGCGCTTTAAGTTCAGTTATACGGTATATAAGCTTTAGTGTTTTAATATTTGTTGTGGACATTTATTAAGTTTGACAGTAAACACAATTCATATAATCAAAATTACTCGTGCGCTGTTTACAAGACAAAATCATAATGCAGCTTGCCGTTTAAATTTGGAATCACACGAATTTATATAGGCGACGTAATTAGCTAGTCTATATTTTAGTCAGTTACCAGTAGTGATTATAAAAATCGGTATAAGTTCCAATTCATTTATTTATAAATTCTAAAACAATGTGTATGCATAAAATTATACAAGACATTATGACATCACTAATTTTACACACAAACACATACACATCAAATATAGCTAGCAAGAGAAAAAATTAAACAAGCAACAACAATATAAAAAACAAAAAAAAACTTGTGGCACTCGCGGACTGCCGCGGTGAAGCTATTGCATAATTTTTTTGATATTAATTCAAGTTTTTTCTTTGATAAATTAACGTTCTGTCCCGCTCTGACGCGCAAGGTTTTTTTCGTTACGGAATTTCTGGATTCGGTGTCCACGCTCGAGGCCCGCGATAGAAGCTATGCAATAGCTTAAAAAGATACAAAAATGACAATAGTAACAGTAGTAATAATTATAATATAATATGATATTGAATAAGTATTGTTTTTATCATTGGATCTCATAAACATATTAAGACAATACAACAAATAAATCCCATTAAATCTGACTACAATCCTAACCATATTATGAATACATACTTTCCATATCTTTAGGGTTTCTTTAAGTAAACATGTTTTCGTCTGGTTTTATTCATATGTATTTTTACAGAGTCCATGTACCCGAGATTTGCAGAGCCAATACCAAACGTTACCGTAACTGTCGGCAGAGATGCATTACTTGCTTGCGTCGTCGATAATTTGAGAGGGTTCAAGGTATTTTATCATTTAATATGGTACACACAAATAATAATCATTAAGATGTCACTTTCTGCTGTCTTGAATTGTTCCTACGTGAAGCAATTTGCACTGGCCCTTAGTCTGTAACTACCAACAGCCAAAAAAAAATCAGTGGCGCTACAACCTCTTTAGGTCTAGGCCTCAGATTTCTGAATCTGTTTCATGATCATTTTTAAATCTAATAGGCAAGTAGGTGATCAGCCTCCAGTGCCTGACACAAGCCGTCGGCTTTTTGGGTCTAAGACATGTCGGTTTCCTCACGATGTTTTCCTTCACCGTTCGAGCAAATGTTAAATGCGCACATAGAAAGAAAGTCATTGGTGAGAGTCGCACGATGAAGCCACTAGGCCAAAACTGCTCTAAGCACTGCACTAACAGCCATACCCAATTCAATAAATAAATCTATTATTATATATACTACTATTTCTTTAATTCATTTAATAATAGGAAACATATACGTTGATAAAATTCGATATTTCTCATATCGAATTCGTCGGGATGAATCTTAATTTTTAATAATAATACGATTTACATAATAGGGCTCTGTCTCTGTAACTTCCAATAGTAATACTAATCCCAACATTTGTGGTTTCTATTCTGATGAAGTTATCTTAGTATCCTTAAAATATTAACGCTGATGTCGCAACCTTGGGTTGGCGCGGAACAAAACTTAGGCTGCTGCCTCGAATTTTGCGGGCAGCGGGGCGGCGGCGGCTGCGGCGCGGGAGCGGGCGATTGCACCTCTCGTTACCCGCCCTCGCGCCGCTGCCACGCCGCTGTTTTCGAGAACCGGTCCATTTGATTTTACGCATAAGATCCTGCCGCTCCCGCGCCGCCGCCGTTTTACGAATGAAAAATCATTCGTAAAACTTGTAATTGTGTTTATAAGGAGTATGTTTCTCTGTATCTCCAGAGACTACGACTATTTTTATTATAGAATGTGGAGCTATAAATTCTGGAGTTTAAATAAAGTGTGTTAAAAATGGGTTACACAAGAAACTTTGCTAGTCTTTTATAAATTAAAAAATATGTCTATTTTAGGTGGCGTGGGTCCGTATGGACACTCAAACAATTCTGAGTATCCACCATAACATCATTACTCAGAATCCACGCATCAGTCTCTCATACAATGACCACCGGTCGTGGTACCTTCATATAAAGGACGTGCACGAAGTGGATCGAGGATGGTACATGTGTCAAGTCAACACGGACCCCATGCGATCCAGAAAGGGCTATCTTCAAGTCGTAGGTATGTTAAAAGCTATTGGTGCTTACTCCATATTATATATAAGTGCCCTCCCCTCTTCGTTATATGCAGTGGACCATGTAAGGATGTACCTCAGCTACGAAATATAAAATTAACAACTGTTAATTATCAGAAGTTAATTTGAAAAAAAAAAATTGTTGTCCTATTAAATCTATGGTGAACTTATATAACTTATATTACGTTATTAAAAAATATGAAATATTTTATAAGAAACATGTGTCAATAGTTCTTACCTGTCCGTTAATTCGTTTTAATACCCAAGTCTCACCCATAACACCATGGAACTTAGAGAATATTTAAGCTATAATACAATAGTTAAATCAAAACATTTAAATATCTATACATATTTCGAAAACATCTTTCAAAATTTTGCAAATATTATTCCCTCTTGTAACGTTTAATTATGTCACATGAAGACAAATTTCGGTAATTGTAATTGAATTCCAAGTAATTACAATAATTAGAATCAAAAGCAACTTTTCAAATTATAAAAGTTTTCTTACAAAGTTTCAAGTACAAGGAATGAAATTACACGCTTGAAGTGACACTCGCATCTAGTTAAGCAATTTAATGAAAGCACTAAACGCTTGCATGCAACCTAATTATCTTTAGCGTTCACAAACAATACATTGAAAGGCATCGACGCTTGATGGAATTCATCGTTCTAATGGCTTCTTGTTTCTGTTGTCTATCGATTTTGTTTATGAAATTTTGAAAGATTGTTATGATTTTTTTCTAGTATAGACCTTTATTTAACCACTTGAGTTATTGGTTTTATGGCATTGGAGTTTCTTGACAATGAAAAAAGTGGTAATACGTTTTTTTGAATAGAATTCGACTACAATGAATAAATCACAGTACTATTAGAAATACTTATTAGTCTGTGATAAATCCAGACTTTTTTGCTTGCAATAAAACTCTGTACCAAATTTAGAAATAATTCTGACTCCATTAGAGTATTACGAAACAACCAGTAGGGTTTAGTCCGGTCCAAGTTCGATTGCTAATGTTTAATATTTCTTATAATTAGTTTAATTTCCCAGTGCCACCATCAATCATTGACAACATGACGTCGACTGACATGGTGGTAAGGGAGGGTGCTGATGTCACCATGGTATGTCGAGCATCAGGATATCCAGAACCCTATGTGATGTGGAGACGGGAGGATGGACAAGACTTTAATTATAACGGAGAGTCAGGTAAATTAAATTGTTACCTTCTAATTCGGGTTATTTTACCGTAGTTTTAATTGTCGGTTAGAGCAAACACCTACTCGAGAAGAATAATAATAAATAATAATTGTCTACAAGCAATAAAGTGAGGGCCAGCGGTGGATTCCCAAAAAAACCAAAATATATTAATATTACTTTAATTAATTACTTTTACAAATAATAAACTTAACTAAATACAATTATTTAATCGGCCCGATATTAGGTGCACGATAAATATATTATATAATAAACTTAACTACTTGAGACTTGACCGGTCCGATATGAGGTATCCGATCAAAAAGCTACTGGTTCTCTTGTCCCTTTCCTTATATATAGCGTAGTTTCGTAAGAGGTGACTTGTATTGGGTATGCGGGGCAAAGGGAGTGCAATAATTGTATACAAGCAATAAAGTATAAAACAAACAGCAGGTGGTACATGACCGAGAGTGGCACAGTGCATAGAGAAATTGTTGTATTTGGAGGCCTTTGGCAAAAATAGAGTACCTAAACGAAGATTGAAATAGAAACGTGTTTAAATGTAATTAAGCCGCATTTATATTTATCTGACGTGTTGTGTTGTGATGCTCTCTGTCGTGATGGCTACTGTTCACATTGATATGACGTGTTATGATGCATTATGACGGTTTTTTGTATCAGTTCCGTCTTGACTCCCAGAGAGTTCACACATTTGCAATGTTTTTTCAAGAATCATCCGATTCAGATTCAGATTTTGAAGAAGAGTTGGAATTATTGGCGTTGGCAACGCTTCTAACTAATTATAAATCACTTTAAATTGTCTTACGTATTCAATTAGTTGCTCTTCGTCCATTTCTGACGCGTAATAACACAACACTGGCGCGTGCACACTAGTCTGATGCGGTATGACGTCTCACGGCACCGCCCCCGCACCTCACCCTTTCTGACGCGGACCGGGATCGCCTGTGACACGACACATCAGAAGCCGTCATAACACACCGCATTGAATAAATGTGAACGCTTCCATATTAAATGTATGAAACTGATACCGTTCTGATGCATCACAACACAACACGTCAGATAAATGTAAATGCGGCTTTACAATATCTCAATTAAAAGGCTATTATTATTATTAATAAGGTATCTATAAATAATAACATTACTATAATATATGTTGTTATACCTTAAAATCTCATTTGAAATAATCTTAATATACCTATATAAATTACGTGTCACGTTGTTTGTCCGCTATGGACTCCTAAACTACCGAACCGATATCAATCAAATTTGCACACCGTGTGTAGTTTGATCCAACTTAGAAGATAGGATAGCTTACATCTCAATTTATACCCGCAATATTATTTTATTGCAAAATATTTGTTTATTATTTGATAGTCACAATTCTAACAGATGGCGCTGTGTTGAAAGTACCAACGTTTCACATAAGCTACAATTTAATGGCACAACCACCAAAAAAGCATGGTGGTCCCCATGACTGGTGTTTTCTTACCGTTTCCCTTGAATAGTTTGCTACTATGTAATATAACAAAAACCTTAGCCACATCAACGCTTGGCCGGTCTGCTAGTTTAATTATAAAGATATTCCAATTTAGAGGTTCGAGTCTAAGAACGCGCCCTTATAATAATATTTAGTGTGGTTACCTTTATTCGAACTACTTAATTGATTATATTTGTTATAACTCTCATATATCTGGATAGGTATAAGAATATATCATTCTATAGCTTTTCTATAATATCTAAAAATATCTTGCGTCATTACTTACCTTATGACCTCTACTGCTAGATGCTTGAATATAACACTAAGCCTTTGATCCTACATCTACGGTTAATGCCACAGCAACGGCGTTCCATCTAAAGCTAAGATTTAAAACTATATCGAAACCTTTACTTTTTGTACTTGTAATATATATCGCGTAATAAATGTACAATCAGGATTAGTTAAGACCAAAAGCAGTTTCGCAATTTCGCAAATTTAATATTTCTGCCATTTTGTATTTTAATAATCGTGCAATTTCGCGTCATAAACGCAGTCTGATAAAAGTGTGGTACCATAAATTAAAAACTACTTATAACATAATCCAGTCCTAGCATATTCTTTTAGCATGTTTCTCATTGTGCATCTGAGATATTTCACAAGTGTAATTAAACTTATTTAATGTTGTTTAAAATGACTGCACATTTAAATATTTTTTATATATATGCGATTTATTGATGAATGGGCCGGTCACATTGGCCGCATTTGTGATGGCAGATGGGTCAAAAAGACCCTTACTTGGAAGGGCCCAGTGGGAAGAAGAAGGAGAGGATGCCCACCGAAAACTTGGGAAGATGATATAAAAGGGATAGCGGGAAAAAACTGGAAAATTGTCGCATCAAATAGGGATAAGTGGGAGAATCTGGAGGAGGCCTTCACTCCGTCGGAGGTCGAGTACAAGTGTAAAACTTAAAAGACATGGACTTACTGTAGTTTTAGTGTACTCGAATAAAGGCTATTTTTATTTTTTTATTTTTATTATACACAAAGGATGTGTTATAGACTGGCTAATCCCGGGGTAACACCCGCGTTCATACAATAAAATGTCGAAAAATAGGAAAATCAAAAAAGTCGATGGCCTATTTCCATATTTTTTTCATACGTTATACATTTTTTATCATTTAAAACAGTCGAGGCGTTTTATTATTAAAATCACAACAACATGATTTTTATATATTTTATAAGATAATCTTATTTAACTAAATATATCTTCGACAGTAAGTGTGGTCGACGGTGAAACACTCACGATAACGAAGGTATCTCGCCTGCACATGGGTGCATACCTGTGCATTGCGTCTAATGGAGTGCCACCTTCAATTAGCAAACGCATCATGCTCATGGTTCAATGTGAGTATTAACGCTAATCTAAGATTATCTGAAGCTCAAATAGTATATCTGTAATATTCTGAACTAATTTGATATAAGCTTCGTTGTACAATAAAAAAAAAAATAATTATCTCTTAGAAGTTGGACGTTTTATACGTAGACGTATTCTGTACTATATTAATTCTATTGTATTGTTACTTTGATCGGTCCACATAAAAACATTATCCATTTACGAATGATACAAACATAATTCGTATTTTAATGAAATACGAATTATTTATAGGGTCAACATTAAACATATTTCCATAATATGTATATTTAATAACTTGTAACTTTTATTTATTGCATCATCATTTACTCAACAAATTGTTTTCTTAATTCTGCTTTCTATTTTATTGAATTTTGTGGAATTGCCAGATGCAAGAAGGCCGGCAGTTTCGTACTTACGTAGTTCCTTAGATGGTGCCAGTTCAGCCTTGCGATTCTGTAACTCACTTTTCGAAGCGGATTTGAAAGCGGCGGTCGCGCTCAAATCAGTCGTAAAGCAGTCTCAGCACTCTGATTAGGAGGGAGCTTGTAGTTTATTGTTTATCAGAATGCCAAATCGTAAAATGACTGCTTCACGACTGATTTGAGCGCGACCGCCGCTTTGAAAACCGCTGTGTGAGTTCGAAAAGTGAGTTACTTCTGTGCGATTCTTCGCACGGCTGTTGTGCTGTGACACAACGGTCATATTATCATAATAGTGCCAAAGTACTAAAGTTTTCTGTTTTGTATTTTCCATTGCTTTTTTTTATTACGTATAACGTTACAATAATTTATTAAATAAAGCAATTTAGCGTTATTACAGTAATTAAGCTTTTCTTTTACTATTTAGGTAAAACAAAGCTAAATTCTAAAATTGAATTTTCTCATAGTTCCTCCGATGTTATCAATTCCGAATCAACTAGAAGGCGCCTATCTCGGACAGGATGTAACGCTGGAGTGCCACACAGAGGCGTATCCCTCCTCCATCAACTACTGGACAACGGATAGGGGAGATATGATAATATCCGGTGAGAGTTTTACTATACGATAATGATAGAGATAATCCCAAGTTATATATAGCCCTAGATAAACTTAAGTTAGACACCAATTTGTAACAGAAAGTGATGAAATTTTTCATAGAAAAGAAAATGTTTTTTTCCAAGACTTAGTCACAAGCAATATATTCTACCTTAGTAAACCAATAATCTCATATTATTTTAATACTGACAAATTATTGAAATGATTACCTGCATCGTTGAATAAACTTGACAAACACTGCTCGGTAAACTCGGGATATAAATTAATATTGTATAAATATAAATGTGTTGTTTTCAGTCCAGTTTTAGATATATTAAAGATAAAATATTGCTAAATAATTTTATTGTGTGAGGTTTGTTAGTAGATTTCAAACGAGAAAATATGTTTTTTACAAATACATATAACGGGAAAAATAAAGGTAGTGAACATTAATCAAACTGCACCCTTGAATGTTCAATCACCTAAAATACATTTACAGCGAAGTACTTTCGCACTCAGGAAATATCGCAACAAAGTATTATCAAAGTCAATCAAACGTAAGTAACAATGAAAACATTTCCAGCGATTCTTTGTTGCTCATTTATTTAGTTTTCCGACAGAATACTATGTTATTATTACGTATTGCATAAGATTTTGTTATAAAAACCACCGGATAACTTTGCAGACCAATCATTTGACAATTTTCTCAATAACAATAAAGTTCTACTGCTCTGTCTGTGGAACTGAGTCTTAATTTATCTGTATATGAGTAATCCGCGTACATACATAAAATATACGTGGATTTGTACAACCTCTTCTGTTATTAAAAGCCTCATAATATGTCTTTGATTACTAAATTTCACAATATTACAAAGCAAATTACGAACAATATAAAATCATAATTAAATTTGTGAATAGATAAAAACCATACATCATATTGAACTAAATAACATGCTTTCAAAATGTAACACTACGATTCTATCAATGATTTATTATCGGATAATGAAAATAGTTTCCTTGTAAAGGAAAAAGCACTTCTAATACATTGTGTGCAGTCATGCGTGAATTAAATACGTTTGTACGAAATAGCACTGAATATTTTGCTCGTAAGCAATTTGATTTCTGCGCGATCAGTTTTTCGCAAAGCGTTGTCTATTAGAGTGATATGTTTTTATGAATGATCTTTAATAACAAAGAAGGTTAGTCTGCAATACATGTGAACGAATATTACTGAATGTAGAATGATCTTAATCAATTTTCATTCAATGCAAAAGAATTTGCAGCTACTTAAACTTTTCACGTATTTTTAAATTTAAAATAACGCAATTAATGTCTAAACAAACTCGTACAGTATTGCTTATATGTATTTTAATCTTATTAATATTATAAACGCGAAAGTTTGTAAGTATGGATGGATGATTGTTACGATTTCACGTAAAAACTACTGAATGGATTGTAATGAAACTTTACAATAATATAGCTTATACATCAGAATAACAATTCAATTTATAAAGATATTGTGTGATTTGTCCAAAATAACAAGTAAGTAGGAAAAAATACTACCATCTGGGAGCTATTCTGGCGTGCGATGCCAAAACCGCTCGAGTTACACATATGTAATGTATGATGAAAATGCCTATCTTAAATAATATTCAATATCTTTAGTAGCTTTTTCTACGCCACGCTAATATAAGGTCGAAATACTAATCCTGCGCAGAAGTTGGGGGCACCAGCTAGTGATTAATATAACGTATCAGTACGTGACAATGTTTCGTGACATGGGGGATACCCATACGTTTGTTTCATATTTTTATGCTTACCAACCCAAAACCATTTTTGTTTTTTCGGGAATCTAACCTGTGACCGAGCCGAGGAGACATTTAAGAATAAAAAAGAGCTTTACTGCCCTAATATTAATACTTTAAAATAATAAAATTTTAAATGTAGCTAACTGATGAAAAGTACCTTTTGTATGTAGATTATATACAATATTCGCGTAGAGGATATTTGACTAAGTATTTGTTGAGGAAAAGCTCTGGCTATCCAACGTATAACTTTTTACTTTGTAGCGATGTCATTGCCTGAGGGGAAAAGTGTATTTCGCAATTCACTATTTTTGCCAAACGAAGTTTGTTGTAAAATACGTGAAACTAATTTAATGTTATTCGGGAAACTCTATGGATTAAACTCATCTAAAAATGGACTCGTAAAATAACTGTATTCCTTTGTATACTTTTTATATTTAGTAAATAAAAATTTAGTTTAAAACCCACAACGCCGGGTTTAGTTTTGTCGTTTCATGATAGATATGTTTGTTAACATGTTAGGTGGGTACAATTTATAATTAAAGTTTTAAAACTGGAATTGGAAGTAAATTGGTATAGTAATTTCAGATCGTATCTAAAAGTAAGAAGCTGCGATGGGTGAGTAGATGTGTGTTACTGACAAATGTTATTACTTTTGTTTAGTTGAATTACGAACAGCCACTTAGAATCTACTGGTCTATATTAAATTACAATACATACAATAAGTTAACTACTTTAAAGAAATAAACACAAAAAGAAATAAGCACACACGTATACACGCATTTAAAATATTTGCCAACTACTATGTCAATCCTATTTCATTACTGACATTATTTTACATTTTTAAATCTAATACGAGTCTATAAAATTCTCGTGTCACGTGAAACGGCTCAACCGATTCTTATGAATTTTTTTATGCATATTCAGTAAGTCTGAGAATCGGACAATATCTATTTTACATCCTCCTAAATGTTAAGGGTGGTACCCCTAAATTTTTATTTTGTAGAAAAAAAAATTGGATTTAATTTTTTTATGATACAGCATACAAAAATACATACAACCCTTAATTGTCTACCCGATACCATCAACCCCTATTTTTTATTGTAGTAGATAGTTATTTTCATTGAACTAAAAAAAAACTAGAAATAATATACATGGCAAGACGACGTTTTCCGGGTCAGATAGTATTATATAAAACTAGCGGATCCGACAGACGTCCTGCATGATATTTCAAGCGATTAGGCTATAAAACAAAGTTTGAAAGTACCGACTAACTAACGAATCTAAACCATCCAAGTCGCCACCCAAAAGCACACAAAAAAATCATTCAAATCGGTCAGGAGTTCAGTGACATACACACGTACAGTAGAATTATATGCCACTATGCGAATATTGTTCAGATAGTTACGAAACCAATTTCAATTGAATTTTTCTTTGATGTTACCAATGTTTTTATCTTGCTATTCGGAACGAAGACAAATACAACATAAAAAACATGAAACTTTGTTTTATATATATGTATACTCGTAGATAAACGTGAACCCTATTATAATAGAACAACAAGCAGGACATTTGTTCCAGCAAAATTGTACTCAGATTTTATAATTGAAGTAGAAATGGAAATTGTAGGTGGGAAATACGAAGCGATTCCAGTCGACAGCGGCTACAACAAGTTCATGATGCTCAAGATACGGAATATAACGAAAGAAGATTTCGGTTTCTACAAGTGCATCGCCAAGAACTCGCTCGGAGAAACTGACGGCATTATTAAACTCGACGGTAAGCCTTGCTTGGTGTTTTTCTTTATTATTGCTTTATTTTTAAAGGCATTGTTGCATACAAACGTAATATGATGTTATATGTTCAGCGAAGTTCTCGGAGTGGTAAAATAATTTATAAACAATTACAGTAGTTATCTTACCTAACCAATTTAATAATGTATCAACGTACACATATGTTCATTTAAATCACAGTGTCACAAGTTACTCTTTTACAAATTAACCACAAATAAATAAATACTATTTGAGCTTTGAAGATGTGATTGTTACCGTTGATTTTGTCTGCAAAGAACTTGCGGTTCAAAGTTAGTAATTTACTAAAGGCACACTCACCAACGAATTTGGTGGCTTAAAAAAACATGTACATAGTTCTCAATGGTATTTATATATAGAAGTTATAAAATGCAACAGAGGTCCTACAACGTTTACTCTACATACTTTGATCCTAAAACAAAAGATTCAAACCATTATAACATACTGTGAGTAAAAGTGAATTGAAAAATATCTGTCTTAATAAGTTTATCAATATTTTATACAAGAATTCAATGCTCAAATATAATTGACAATGTTAGTTACGACAGATTATTTGTTGCAGAAATACCAGCCCCGCCGTCCGCCTTTACGACCACTCAGAAACCGATACTAGACAACCAAACAATAAGGAAAAAAGGTATGTGTGCATTGTCAGGCAGTCGCAGATTCCAGTTATCTAAAAAACATTAATGTGACTTTCGAGCTTAATAGATTACGTTACGTAAAAGCGCTTATCATGCAATAATAAATTAAGCTGTCTTGCACACTTATTAATAAAAATTAAAGCAATTTTCGGTGTCAGCAAATTTTAATGAAATGAGACAAAAACTCAATAATTAAATCGGAATTTATTGAACTAACTTAGCTTGAAATGCCAGTTTAGGTTTTTGGATAAAAATACTTTCTGCTTAAAAAATCAAAATCGTAGTAAAGCCTACTTAATTTTAATAAAAAGGTATAGCAAATATAAAAATAGTGTAAATCTACAGGGCAACTGGTTCAAACAAATGAAGCAATCAGCTCAACATTCCAAGGTGAGGTGTTTGATGGACAAATACGGGATTTTGGTATGTAATATACAAGTTAAAAATACTTAATTCCGTTATCACACGGAACAAAATATAGTTTTACACAAAGCCTTTTCAGAATTTCATTTATTCGAATAAAAATTGAAAAACTGTTTCGCCATGAACGACCTAGGCTAGTAAAAAACAATATCATAGAACACTTTGTATGTCATATTATACAACAACATCAACAACAGTTTTTTTGAAACACACAAATATAAAGTACTTACAGTGTTCTTATAGTAGGAATAATAATTAAAAATTGGTAAATGGAACACTAAAATAAATTAAAAAAGATTTGTTCATGTAGCGGTAATGAGGAGTGTTGGTGTAGTGGCTACAGCGTGGGACTCACACCCCTGAGGTCGTAGTTTCGATCCCCGGCGGTGCGTGCACCAATGGACTATCTTTCTATGTGCGCATTTAACATTCGCTCGAACGGTGAAGGAAAACATCGTGAGGAAACCTTAACCCAAAAAGTCGACGGTGTGTGTCAGGCACAGGAAGCTGATCAACTACTTGCCTATTATATCAACAAATGATCATGAAACAGATTCGGAAATCTGAGGCCCAGACCTAAAGAGGTTGTAGCGCCACTGATTTTATTTTTGTTCATGTAGCAATATACCTCGCTGTATTACGGTACTTTTTCCTTGAGCGAGGAAAGCTTCAGTTCTGTGGTCACTGGTCATGATACTGTCCAACCGGCGCCAACTTAAATCTTTAAGTAGCGCCTGTGTCCTTGAACCCCATGGCCCAAGAGTCTCTCTCCAAAGGGAACAAAGAACTACTAGTAGGAATGATTTTTAAATCAACAATTATTATGGTTCTATTGAGTTATTCTTATGTAGTTTAATTTTTATATTTATTTTTACCATTGGTTGTCCATGAGCGTTTTAATATTAAATTGTAACTATTTAATAACTGGTATTTCAACACAATTTTTTAAATTAATATATAAATAACTGATGCGCATTGTTCATACTTTTTTACGTTTAGTTAATAAAATTACAACGATTTATTATTCAACAATACTTTGTTTCAGATTTCTACGAGAACTCGGCTCCGACGCACAATTTAAATATTAATTTAATGCTATTATTTTGTTTATATCACATAATTTTAGTATCCTGATGTAAAGTTTGATATTTTTTGTGATAATTTACGCAAGTATCAGACAAGTCAATGAAATACAGTTTTTTTGAATCATAGGCTTACTCTGTAACGTCAATAGCTATTCTGGTATTCTGAATTCTTGATTCTTCTGTCATATTGTATGCGACACGAGCGCTGCAGATATTGAAAGAATATTAAGGTAATATTTAATGGATGTCATCGTAATGTAATGTTGGACTGTGGAATCAATATCAGGTTCACAGAGTAGCCCTGCTCATAACACCTCACGAAACTTGAAACTCTAAATAAATAAAAAACTAAATCAAACAGTAGGACAATTCTTTACGGAGTTACATTATAAAAAAAGAATAACCTTTAACATTTAAAACTGTATTTCATTGAAATGTTCTGTATCAATACGAGTTCCTTTATGTCATGCTGAACAGACAATAACATTATTGAAGTCTGCGACCGAGTTTGTACGAACCTGACATTTCTAGGTTTAGACTAAATGAATGACTAGATGTTTCAATGTGATTGACGTTTTATTTGCCAAAGAATACTTTGCGAATTTCGAGGAGTGAGCTCGAAAAATAACGCTTTCGGTATCGCTTTCTACAATAAGGTGCTTTTAAATTACATAAGATTTATTTAATGCAACTATTTTACACTATATTATTAATAAACAATGCATATAGATGCTATAAAATGCAGCTTATTGAAATGTTGGTTGGGATTTATCAATTAATAAATAACTGCGGTTACAAAAAAGAAAAGCCTGTGTAAAATATTGCCTCCCGGCCCATGTCCTATAGGATTAGGACATGGGCCGGGATGCCCATTTTTAACGCACCTTGCGTTGCCGGTCTTTGAGGGAGGAGTACACACTTACTTTGAACAGTTGTAATATCTCTCAGGGAAGACTCCCACCGTGAGTCGATTCCACAGTTCACAAAAGACAGTGTCTTGTAAAGCGGACTGTAGTAGTATAGTATATTGAATTTCATGAATTATTATTATATATTTCAAAATATAGCTTAAAGGTTATTTTAATTCTTACAAGGTGTTGCTGAGTAGAAGCATTCGACGCTTTAGATATCAAGAAGTTGGAAGTCTTCCACAGTCCGTTTCACAAGGCATTTTGTTTTTTGAACTAGCGAACTGTGGAATCGACTCCCGGTGGGGGTCTTCCCTGAGAGATACGACCTCCAAACTTTCAAAATTCGAGTATACTCGTCCCTCAAAGGCCGGCAACGCACCCACTAAAAATGGGTGTTTATGGGCTTCGATGCCTGCCCTTTTTGGGCGTCCCGCAGGCTCGTTTGCCCCCATATTATATTAAAAAAATCAAGATCACATTATATATATGTTATGTTAATTTTTTTTTTTAAGTTAGGTAGTCAATGAAAACAAATGACTATAGACAATCAAATTCATTTAGTCTAAACTGGACATTTTGGCTTTGTTTTGAAGTAGATGTAATGTCTCATGTATAAATAGATTTAGGTCGAATTTTCTACATCGATTTTGTAAATTTTGGATAAGCCTTGTAGGATCTTAGACTACTAAAACGAGTCTTAAGTTAATATCTAGTATTGAGTACTGTAAAGCGTCTTACACACTAAAACAAGATTTAAGTTTGATTCACATTTCGAATGTGGAACATATACTTAGTAGTTAATTGTTTTCTTCCTAATGAGTGACACATGAGTACTATACAATCTACAGAATCGTTTATCGGATAAAACTCATGCTTGGTTCACTGTTTTTGTAGTAAACGCACAATTCCAAATTTAAACTGCCTATTCTAGAACTTAGATCGTTAATGTTGTTTAGGAAATAAATTGCTTTATTTTATAGGGATACACATATTTTTTTGTATTTATTTAAACATTGTATTAAGTAGATCTTACCCAAATATAACTGAAATATTGTAACTAATAGACTATTTTATCATTCAGCTGTTAAAAGTAAAAGCCAAACCATGAAGTGAAGTTTCAATAAAATCATGCTTTGATAAGTTGTTGTTTTTATTTGGTTAATTATTTAACATGTGTGCAGTGTTGGCCTAGTGTCTTCAGCGTGCGACTTTCATACCCTAGGTCGTAGGTTCGATCCCCGCCTGTGCACCAATGGACTTTCTTTCTATGTGCGCATTTAACATTTACTCGAACGGTGAAGGAAAACATCGTGAGGAAACCAACATGTCTTAGACCCAAAAAGTCGACGGCGTGTGTCAGGCACTGGAGCCTGATCACCTACTTGCCTATTAGATTTAAAAATGATCATGAAACAGATTCAGATATCTGAGGCCAAGACCTAAAGGGGTTGTAGCGCCACTGATTTATTTTTATTTATTTAACATACCGTGATCGCCCACCAACTAACGATATTCGATATTTGAATATAAAAAGTGGAAAAACAACTTATGATTTTTACGAGTATTTTTGCGAACCACTGACAGTTCCAAAGTTTTATATATGCTTTGTCCTCGGTTATTAAGTTATTTGGCGTTGCCTACGTTTCTGTGAAACTTTTGCGTAATCTACATAAAAAGTTGGTCCAACGTACTATTAATTTCGCCAGTGATGGATCGCTAGGAATTTTTGCTGTGGTGGAAACAGCAAAACTATTTTTGCTATCTACACTATCTTAGGACCACTTCAGTATAAAATTGGAAAAAACTCTTTTTTGTAACTTAATGAATATGATGTGTAAAAGGTCATGAACTCTCGGCTAAACAATGTCAATGTTTCAGGTTTCGAAAGTTTCAGTAGACCACTATTGCCTTTCAATACCACAATTTTTATTTTTTTGTAATAGGAGGCCAATGGGTAGGCGGCTCACCTGATGTTAAGTGATACCGCCGCCCATGGACACATAACATTGTCAGAAGGCTCGCAAGTCCGTTGCCGGCCTTTTGAAAATTGGTAAGTCATATCACTCTTTCATAAGTGAGAGACTTGATAGATTCAAAAGTCTAGAAGGTTATATAAATAGCAGAGTTAGTTTAGCTATAATATTTCTTCATAATAGTGGTTAGAGAGTTCGTTTTTTCATGTTAATATAAGTTGTAGAATAAAAAATTTACTAGTGAATACAAAAGTAGGTATTTTTTAACCTATTTATAAATATCACAAAATATGTTGCTAAGCGCAAACGAAGACTTCTGGATTCATTCGAGTATTTTTGAAAATTTATTTGAATTCTGATAGTTTTAATAAGTGCGTATGTTTTTATTCCGGAAAACCGAAGTCTCTAAAGCACAGAAAAATGTTCCATATGATTGTATGTAGCCACTAAAACGGTAAGCAAAGTAAAAAGCTTTTAAAAATATGTTCAACTACCTATTTAATTATACTTACAATAATATTGCAACAGACTTCCAAAAATAGAAAATATTTACCAAGGTTTCGTATGCGGTATTCCGAGATTTGTACACTAAAGGGATAAAACCAAACCCGGTCGGTGTGGCTTCTCCCGGCGTCATTCTAAAAGTATATTATATTTTTATCATTTATATTTAAGTGAATTTTATATATTATTTTTAATTCAATTAAAATAAACCTTTTTTATTCCGAGAATATATTATATTTTTTGCATTCCTTGAAGAATAATAATTATTTTTTTCACTGAAGAATAATGGTTAAAATGCCAGCATTTATTTAAAAGTAACAGGAAATTACAATTGTATCTGTATGTAACTTCATTAAAATGCGTAAACATAAAAAGTCTGTGAACGATAATTTCAAGGTGAATAGTACATTTTAAATATATATTCTGATGCACAATTCTCACCAATTTAATAAATAAGAATCGTACATTAATGCCTACAATGATATGTAGTAGTAGTAATATTCAAGATTTTATTGAGTAGGTAACAATTAATTTAAAAGACACAGTTTTTTTTATTGAATAGGAGGGCAAACGAGCCTAAGGGACGCCCAAGGCAGTCATCGCAGCCAATAGACACTCATGATAGCGCTGCCGGCCTTTGAGGCCTTTGAAGACTCCATTTGGAGTCGATTCCACAGCTTGCTAGTTTGTAAAAGAAAATGTCCTGTAAAGCGGACCTTCAACCATCAACTTGATGCAGATGAATACTATGTTTAATATTTACAATATTGCTTAGCCTACATACCAATAATAAAAACGACGGGTTGCACTCCGGAAGTGCCGGCAGAAGTGAAAACTTAGGAAATAATTTTGCACGAATTGCTTTAATTATAAGTATAAAAGTACTATAATTTATGTGGTAGAAAACAATATTTATTTATTGCGCTATCGTACACAAAGATGACAATTTATATTACATTAAATACGCCGTGCCAGCTGTCTACTCTCCATCCGTCTTACGAAACCTACACAAAATAATTAACTAATTTTAATTATTTTGTGTAGGTTTTGTAAATTTATTAAATTAAATAATTCAATTAGGAAAATTCACAATTTTTTAAGTTGCCATTTTTATTCACGTCAGTCTGACCAAATCGTTAATAATAAAGCCTTAGACGTTTCGCAAAATTAAACCTTGCTGTATTGGCTTAAGGTCCAATTCCACATGCATCAATGTATCTGAGGAAAGAGACAAATGAGTTAAAACCGTAACTATATAGTACGAAGGTTCATAATCCTTTAAAAACATTCATTTTACGAATTTGTCCTGACGCGAGTTTAACATTTTTTACCCATTCCAAAAAAAGTGTACAACGCCGCTAAAGAAGTTTTCACTTCAAAAATTATTATTATAAATTTATCGATAGAAAATTAAAACAAAATTAAAAAGTTTGGTTCCTGTGGCGGCGTAATGCAGCATTTCCTCGCTGTATTGCGATACTTATTCGTTGAGCGAAAGCGACAGCTAGGGTCACCGGTATCACTCCCAGGCGCCAACTTAAATCTTTAATTAGTGTCTGTGAACTTGAACCCTACGGCCCAAAAGTCTCTACTCCAAACGGAACAAAATATGATAATATTAATAATAATCAAGATAAATATCCTGTATATCTAAATTTATAAACATTAATGAATTTAATTATAACATTCTAAATGTCCGGTTAAAGAGAAAAAAATTTATTTAATGACTAAGGTTGTGGTAAATTTTTTCATGTGTCAACGTTCATGGAAGAATCGGGTGGCGTGAAATTCATTACAAAATTGCCCAGGAACCGTCGAGTGAATATTCGGCATCACAGAATTAAGTAATAAATGGGATTAACGTCAAAAAAAAACAGTGGCGCTACAACCTTTTAGATCAGGGTTCGGCACCTTCTTTGCCTGACACACCGTCGATCTTTTGAGCCTAAGGCATGGTGGTTTCCTTACAATGTATTCCTTCACCGTACAAGCAAGTGCTAAATGCGCGCATAGGCAGAAAGTCCATTAGTACACAACCGGAGATCCAATCTCAGAGATGAGTTTCGCACGCTGGTGTCTCTAGTAGGTTAAAGGGAATTTGAAAAAGCCGAATCAATAAAAAATATCTTAAACAGACCAATCGGTGTCGCACATATTATTTCATTATAATCAGTACTTTATACTTTCGTCCAGTCACAAACACGCGACACGATCCGGCTATCAGACTGACCAACCACGATTAAACAAAATGCGGCATAGTTTCGTCTGTTGTTTTGTTAATTATGTTAACACAGCGCTAGATTCTTACAAGATCTTAACATAAGAATTAAAAAGCGTAAAATAACATAACGTTGGTTCGTTTAGATGGATTGAATAACTCTAGTGCACACACTCGAAAGCGGTTTTTTTTTGTTTAAACTCATCACTCCCTAAAATCAAAAACAAATTTAGTGTCTATAAGTTGGTTTAAAATGGACGTTAAAACCTATACCAAACACGTTGTCCATGGACAAAACAAAAAAGACTATCACAGACTATAGAGTAGTTTCACATGTAGCAGGTAACACCGACCGCCATTCCATTAATATGTAACGAATACCAATCTCAGTGCAGTGCCCTTTATTGCCCTGATCAAATCAATACTCCTTACTCCATAACGTGTTCATTAGCTAACCGTTATTGCCAATTATTGGTGAGAGAATTAACATATTTACATATAATTACACGTAAACTGCACGATAATTGGGGATCACTAGATCTTAACATCATTACAACCTTTGTTGACAATTAATCTAAACCTCGATATATTATAATTTAATTCTTCAATAAATTTAAAACTTTGTATTGCGAATAAACAGTTTCAGTTAAAAAGAAGGTATTTTATACCTTCTTCATCTCTGAAACGAAACGCCTTACCTTTAGTTTAATACCTAAACTTTTTAAACTAAGAGGGAGAAAATTTTCCCGCGGACGATTTTTAACATTCCATACATGACGCGCGTGGTTGGTAATTGACGGAACGGTCTATTGCGAATTGTCTTATTATTTTCCAAACAGTTTTTCTTCCTCCCGAATCTGAAAAAAAATATGGCTGGTGAAGAGTATTTTTCACACAAACAAGAGGGCACCAGCCTATTAATTAGTCTTATCTAATAACTATAAAATTAAATTGCTTGCAACATGATAAAAGTATAACAAATACAAAATAACCCACATAATGTATTTTATTTATTTTTATCACTGACGTTGTTATTTTTACGTTAATTACAATCATATTTTATGGTAGCAATAAATTATTATCATCCATATCTTAATATATATAAATCTCGTGTCACAATGTTTGTCCTCAATGGACTCCTAAACTACCAAACCGATATCAATCAAATTTGCACACCATGTGCAGTTCGATCCAACTTGAGAGATAGGATAGTTTAAATCTCAAATTATAGTCGCAATTTTAATTTATTGCAAAATATTTGTTTATTATTTGATAGTCACAATTCTAACAGATGGCGCTGTGTTAAAATTATCAACGTTTCACATAAGCTGTCATCTACCTTTCACATAAGTTCTCCTACCGTTTCCCTTGAATAGTTTACTACTATGTAATATAACAAAAATCTTAGCCAGAGCAACGCTTGGCCGAGTCTACTAGTTAATTATATTATTTCCTTTTTTTTTAGAATTATACACTATTTTTCGTTAACAAATTAGAAAGTTATAAAAAGACAAGGCATATGTTTTATGGTTAAAACGTTAAAAACTTCTAGTGAGATGTGCGAAGAATGAGGTACATAGTAATGAATAGATTTTGACTTTGTAATCTTTAGACTTTATAGGTAAGTGGTAACCGGCACATAGTCGTGAAAGGTCATACATTTTCTTTTCTAAAGACTGTAATACGTCTTCACTCAAAAGAAAAATTCCATTGTTCCAGGGGTCCGAAATTCCGCTTTCACGGTTGATCTACATACAGAGACAGATACACAGTATTTAAAAAATAAAAATAATTAATATTTTTATAGAAAAGAGTTTATAGAGAAGTAGTGAAGGGGATGACGGGTCTGGGCGTTACTGCATACGATTTTTTGCATTTTCTGAGAAGATTTACTATGTAATATATATATATATTTTTTTACCATAGGAAAGTAGAGATTTCAACGAACTGAAAGCATACCAACTTTTTGAAAAAAGCTGATATTTTGACGAGTGAATTTTCGATTGAAAATTAGGGTGCTTTTTTGATATTAATTCAAAATAAGGTGAAAAAATTATTATTTCAAATCAAATAAATTACAGCGTATTAAAGACATAAAAAGGTAAGTTTTCACCAAATTTCGTGGGGAAAAAATAAATTTTGTAAAAGATAAATATTAAAGGTTAGATCTTTATATTACCTACAACTTTGCCATTTGACTTTTTTACACGCTTTATATTAGCTTCACCTGTATGTATGTATGTAACCGACTCCTTCGGACTCGATTTTGACCCACTTTAAACGGACAGATTTAATTCAAACTTTGTACACTTATAAAGAATCAGCGACAATATAATAATTTCATAGGTTTATCTCGAAAAAACAATGAATTTTTTTTAAGTCCACAAAGCAATACCATTAAATTGAGACAACACGTATTACTGCTAGGACTAAAAAGTGGAAAATAAATATAGTTTAAAAAAACTATATTTATTCCATAGGACTTTTAGTTTTGCCGGAAATCGAGATAAACCGTTTTTTACCCTTAAAACTCCTCCCCCCTACCCCTTCCCGACCTCAGATCGCCCGTAAATTATGTTTCCTTTAATTTTTATAATATTCTCCTCCCTTTCCAATCCTACTATTATTTTTTTAGGTTTAAAAAATTATCGACACTGGTCTATTAGGGATGTATAATGCTATTTCAAAATTATATGAAAACTAGCTGGCCGCGTACGGTCCGGCCCTGGAGTTGGTGGGCTTAAGAGTTTGAAGTTACCTGCAATTTTGGAAAATAAATCTTATCGCCTAATACGTAATTTCTAAACCCTTGAAAGATAGTTTAAAATTTTCAAACAAATACTTTCCGTTCTCTCAAAGCGCGCTTTGTAAAATTTTGTTCTTTCAAGCTGAAGCCCGTCACAGTCACTATAATATATATTATAGCAAGCTACCACACACTGAGAAATATATATTTTGCCTTCATTAAATTGATGGTCGTAATATTCAATAATGTATATTACGGTATCGCTTGGTGACGTCACAGAAATATATATTATAGCTGAGTGTGCGGTCACGCGAAAATTAGTATAGAAAATATATAGTAATATGCCTAGCCATAAAAATATTAATATATATTATAGCTAAGTCTGTGACAGGCTTTACAATCGTAAATAAACAAAGGCACTACACATAAAGCGAATATGGTCCACATTTATAACTGTGTTATACGACCTATCAAACAAACAAAACATACAGCCATTATTCATCTTTACCTGTCAATAATACTATAATATACGAGTAAGTCATGTTATAAAGAAATCATTTACTTACAAATCGTCTTTCGTTCCAGTCGTTTGGTTTTAAATTAATTTCACGATAATGAGTTTATATGTTTATGGTGATAAAAATGTTGAAGTTCCTACTCAACTTCATTTTGGAAAATACCTAATGAAACAGTTGCTTATGGGAGGAGACACGATTGCTGTGGTAAGTAATAATAAAAAATGTTTGCTTAAATTTTCATTGGTCATATGTATAGTAGGTATATTATATTATCAAGCATCATTAATTTAAGGATACCGGTGGCAAGGATTATTGCCCTATTAACGCGGATAACGATAAATAAATAGATAGTAAGCTCAGTACTAGTTAACAATTTAGAAAATGTTAATAAAACATATACAAGAGGTTCATTCGTGAGGTGGGTTTGTTCGACACGGCTTTGCCACCTTTGGTATCCCAAGTTGCGATGATATTCCTATGAAAATAAAGAAAAACTCTCATTAAGGGTTGTAGCACCACTGGATTAATATTATGATTAGTAAAAAATCCTTTTCACTTAATCTTAAACAACTTTCCTAGACAAGTATGTCATGATAACCAACCTACTGTGCCCAACCTGGAACGTTTAGATCGGCGGAAATCGAATTTATGATGTATGTTAGCTTAATGTTTTGAATTAATTAAGACCACTAAGATATATTTCGAGTTTAAAGTATAATAACTATGCCACTAACGGTTTCAATTATTACTATGTGCAAAATAATTACAAGTATAATATAGGAACATGCGGATACTGAAGAAAAATTAACATACAAAGAGCTGTTGCAACATGCAGTCAATTTGGCCAGTGAACTGATGAAGCTGGGAATTGGAAGAGGAGATATTGTAGCTGTGGGTTCGGAAAAACGGAACACACTAATAATCACTATATTTGCTGTAACTTTTACGGGAGCTACCTATACTGCGTATGATTTGCATAGTGGAAAATGTATGTTTGATTTTTATTACAATACAATGTCCAAATGACGTTAGTAGTACTACCCATTACATGCATAGTTCGTTCATCAAAAATTGGTTCATCTTAAGTGACCATGTAAAACTAGTTACAATGTTTAACCAATAATATAATTAGTAAATCAGAGAATGTTGCGGGAGTTCCCAGAGTTCGTAGAACATTATCTAAAACTATACCTTTATGTTTTACACCATACCTGTCCGAGCCCAGGGGCACCATCTTTTGATCCGCCCTTGAGTATTTATAAGCATGAAAATCTATATATGTTTACCATAATTTGTGATTCATCCCGAAATGCCGTCGTTCCACAACTAGACGTTATTTAAAGCAGTTTTTGCCGCGCACCATCGCTATGTTGAACCAGCTGCACGCTGAAGTATTTCCGAACCAATTTGACTTATGGTCCTTCAAGAAGAAAATCACTTAACATCAGATGAGCCTCCTGCTCCTTTAGAATATAAAAAAAATGTTAACTTGCTTATAAATTAATACCTGATTCACCTTCATCATACATATACTCTAAACTAAAACTAATGGTACAGTACGAATTATTGAGAAGTTCAGAAAACAAATAATTAATTATTTTAACGATTTTTGCGATGAAACTAAGCGGAATCCCGCATGCTTGCTCGACTAGTATTCATATATAACCCTAAACCTATAATGTTTTATTATTTGTTTATTACGAATTCAGTTTCTCTTAAGCACAAAATATCAGTGGCTCACCTAACTATTTCATATTTTTTCTAAGTCGTTTTGGGGATTGTATAATGAATTATTATCACCTGAATTGATGACGTTAATGACTTTCGACGATGAACCAACATCAGCGCATTCAATAAAGTCCTATATAAATAATGACGTTGATATAAATAGCTTTGAGCCGGGGGAAGTGTTCGGGCAAATGGATATTGCGTTAATTCTTTATTCGTCGGGAACAACTGGACTGCCGAAAGGTGTTCGGTTAACTCATATGAACTGTATATTAAACAGTTTACCATACAAGTAAGTATCTAGAATCTTTTATACTGAATATGAATGATCCTTACAGATGTAAAATCCAATAAGTGTTTGACATACAGAAGTTACGATAAAAGTTTCTTTTTTGTAATGAACTAAATAAAATTAATTCAAATTACATATTAACAATGTACTCTTAACAGATATATAAAAGTTTATTAAAATAATGACACAATATATGTGAAAGCACTGGTTAAAAATCATATTTGCAATTTTAGCACTAATTTTCGTTTTTATTATCATCTTTTTTTTTTAACTAATTTAAACATGTACCACGAAATAATTGTTTTCTAGTTACCCACAACACAGGGCCTCCCTAGTGTGGGGACTAGCGATTTATGATTTATGTCACAAACCCTTCTGTCATTAATAAAGTTTTTATTATTATTATTATTATTAATTCAATATAACTTACTATCAAGACGAAAGTAAAATCTCTTTGTTCCAGACTGGACCGTGACATTACTAAGACAATTTTCACGTGCGGAGAGTGGTTTCATAACTATGATATATTTTCCTTATACAAATTTATAAGTGCTGGAAGTACAATAATTTACCTCTCTGATGTTACTTCGCAAAGAATTGTGGAATGCATTGATAAATATAAAGTATGTTTTTTATTAAAACTAGTACATTTTGTGTATCTACGCTGTGATAAAATGAAATAGAGGTGCCTTTGTGACAGGCGAGAAACGGTAGGTTAAATCAAAGCAAAGGATTTAAAATATCTGCGAAATTTACGAAAAAATTAATACTATAAAATAAAAATTATTTATATGATTGTATGGGTCCACTGAAAATCAGTGTTGCTGGCAACTTAGAGTTGAGTTAGGCTCATTTTTTCTTTTTTCTTAATTTATTGTTAGTAGCCTAAGGGACGCCCAAGGCAGTCATCGCAGCCAATAGACACTCATGATAGCGGTGCCGGCCTTTGAGGCCTTTGAAGACTCCATTTGGAGTCGATTCCACAGCTTGCTAGTTTGTAAAAGAAAATGTCCTGTAAAGCGGACCTTCAACCATCAACTTGATGCAGATGAATACTATGTTTAATATTTACAATATTGCTTAGCCTACATACCAATAATAAAAACGACGGGTTGCACTCCGGAAGTGCCGGGCAGAAGTGAAAACTTAGGAAATAATTTTGCACGAATTGCTTTAATTATAAGTATAAAAGTACTATAATTTATGTGGTAGAAAACAATATTTATTTATTGCGCTATCGTACAAAAAGATGACAATTTATATTACATTAAATACGCCGTGCCAGCTGTCTACTCTCCATCCGTCTTACCGAAACCTACACAAAATAATTAACTAATTTTAATTATTTTGTGTAGGTTTTGTAAATTTATTAAATTAAAAAATTCAATTAGGAAAATTCACAATTTTTTTAAGTTGCCATTTTTATTCACGTCAGTCTGACCAAATCGTTAATAATAAAGCCTTAGACGTTTCGCAAAATTAAACCTTGCTGTATTGGCTTAAGGTCCAATTCCACATGCATCAATGTATCTGAGGAAAGAGACAAATGAGTTAAAACCGTAACTATATAGTACGAAGGTTCATAATCCTTTAAAAACATTCATTTTACGAATTTGTCCTGACGCGAGTTTAACATTTTTTACCCATTCCAAAAAAAGTGTACAACGCCGCTAAAGAAGTTTTCACTTCAAAAATTATTATTATAAATTTATCGATAGAAAATTAAAACAAAATTAAAAAGTTTGGTTCCTGTGGCGGCGTAATGCAGCATTTCCTCGCTGTATTGCGATACTTATTCGTTGAGCGAAAGCGACAGCTAGGGTCACCGGTATCACTCCCAGGCGCCAACTTAAATCTTTAATTAGTGTCTGTGAACTTGAACCCTACGGCCCAAAAGTCTCTACTCCAAACGGAACAAAATATGATAATATTAATAATAATCAAGATAAATATCCTGTATATCTAAATTTATAAACATTAATGAATTTAATTATAACATTCTAAATGTCCGGTTTCAGAGAAAAAATTTATTTAATGACTAAGGTTGTGGTAAATTTTTTCATGTGTCAACGTTCATGGAAGAATCGGGTGGCGTGAAATTCATTACAAAATTGCCCAGGAACCGTCGAGGGAATATTCGGCATCACAGAATTAAGTAATAAATGGGATTAACGTCAAAAAAAAACAGTGGCGCTACAACCTTTTAGATCAGGGTTCGGCACCTTCTTTGCCTGACACACCGTCGATCTTTTGAGCCTAAGGCATGGTGGTTTCCTTACAATGTATTCCTTCACCGTACAAGCAAGTGCTAAATGCGCGCATAGGCAGAAAGTCCATTAGTACACAACCGGAGATCCAATCTCAGAGATGAGTTTCGCACGCTGGTGTCTCTAGTAGGTTAAAGGGAATTTGAAAAAGCCGAATCAATAAAAAATATCTTAAACAGACCAATCGGTGTCGCACATATTTCATTATAATCAGTACTTTATACTTTCGTCCAGTCACAAACACGCGACACGATCCGGCTATCAGACTGACCAACCACGATTAAACAAAATGCGGCATAGTTTCGTCTGTTGTTTTGTTAATTATGTTAACACAGCGCTAGATTCTTACAAGATCTTAACATAAGAATTAAAAAGCGTAAAATAACATAACGTTGGTTCGTTTAGATGGATTGAATAACTCTAGTGCACACACTCGAAAGCGGTTTTTTTTTGTTTAAACTCATCACTCCCTAAAATCAAAAACAAATTTAGTGTCTATAAGTTGGTTTAAAATGGACGTTAAAACCTATACCAAACACGTTGTCCATGGACAAAACAAAAAAGACTATCACAGACTATAGAGTAGTTTCACATGTAGCAGGTAACACCGACCGCCATTCCATTAATATGTAACGAATACCAATCTCAGTGCAGTGCCCTTTATTGCCCTGATCAAATCAATACTCCTTACTCCATAACGTGTTCATTAGCTAACCGTTATTGCCAATTATTGGTGAGAGAATTAACATATTTACATATAATTACACGTAAACTGCACGATAATTGAGGATCACTAGATCTTAACATCATTACAACCTTTGTTGACAATTAATCTAAACCTCGATATATTATAATTTAATTCTTCAATAAATTTAAAACTTTGTATTGCGAATAAACAGTTTCAGTTAAAAGAAAGGTATTTTATACCTTCTTCATCTCTGAAACGAAACGCCTTACCTTTAGTTTAATACCTAAACTTTTTAAACTAAGAGGGAGAAAATTTTCCCGCGGACGATTTTTAACATTCCATACATGACGCGCGTGGTTGGTAATTGACGGAACGGTCTATTGCGAATTGTCTTATTATTTTCCAAACAGTTTTTCTTCCTCCCGAATCTGAAAAAAAATATGGCTGGTGAAGAGTATTTTTCACACAAACAAGAGGGCACCAGCCTATTAATTAGTCTTATCTAATAACTATAAAATTAAATTGCTTGCAACATGATAAAAGTATAACAAATACAAAATAACCCACATAATGTGTTTTATTTATTTTTATCACTGACGTTGTTATTTTTACGTTAATTACAATCATATTTTATGGTAGCAATAAATTATTATCATCCATATCTTAATATATATAAATCTCGTGTCACAATGTTTGTCCTCAATGGACTCCTAAACTACCAAACCGATATCAATCAAATTTGCACACCATGTGCAGTTCGATCCAACTTGAGAGATAGGATAGTTTAAATCTCAAATTATAGTCGCAATTTTAATTTATTGCAAAATATTTGTTTATTATTTGATAGTCACAATTCTAACAGATGGCGCTGTGTTAAAATTATCAACGTTTCACATAAGCTGTCATCTACCTTTCACATAAGTTCTCCTACCGTTTCCCTTGAATAGTTTACTACTATGTAATATAACAAAAATCTTAGCCAGAGCAACGCTTGGCCGAGTCTACTAGTTAATTATATTATTTCCTTTTTTTTAGAATTATACACTATTTTTCGTTAACAAATTAGAAAGTTATAAAAAGACAAGGCATATGTTTTATGGTTAAAACGTTAAAAACTTCTAGTGAGATGTGTGACGAATGAGGTACATAGTAATGAATAGATTTTGACTTTGTAATCTTTAGACCTTATAGGTAAGTGGTAACCGGCACATAGTCGTGAAAAGGTCATACATTTTCTTTTCTAAAGACGTATTACACGTATTACTCAAAAAGAAAATTCCATTGTTCCAGGGGTCCGAAATTCCGCTTTCACGGTTGATCTACATACAGAGACAGATACACAGTATTTAAAAAATAAAAATAATTAATATTTTTATAGAAAAGAGTTTATAGAGAAGTAGTGAAGGGGATGACGGGTCTGGGCGTTACTGCATACGATTTTTTGCATTTTCTGAGAAGATTTACTATGTAATATATATATATATTTTTTTACCATAGGAAAGTAGAGATTTCAACGAACTGAAAGCATACCAACTTTTTGAAAAAAGCTGATATTTTGACGAGTGAATTTTCGATTGAAAATTAGGGTGCTTTTTTGATATTAATTCAAAATAAGGTGAAAAAATTATTATATCAAATAAATTACAGCGTATTAAAGACATAAAAAGGTAAGTTTTCACCAAATTTCGTGGGGAAAAAATAAATTTTGTAAAAGATAAATATTAAAGGTTAGATCTTTATATTACCTACAACTTTGCCATTTGACTTTTTTACACGCTTTATATTAGCTTCACCTGTATGTATACGTATGTATGTAACCGACTCCTTCGGACTCGATTTTGACCCACTTTAAACGGACAGATTTAATTCAAACTTTCTACACTTATAAAGAATCAGCGACAATATAATAATTTCATAGGTTTATCTCGAAAAACAATGAATTTTTTTAAGTCCACAAAGCAATACCATTAAATTGAGACAACACGTATTACTGCTAGGACTAAAAAGTGGAAAATAAATATAGTTTAAAAAAACTATATTTATTCCATAGGACTTTTAGTTTTGCCGGAAATCGAGATAAACCGTTTTTTACCCTTAAAACTCCTCCCCCCTACCCCTTCCCGACCTCAGATCGCCCGTAAATTATGTTTCCTTTAATTTTTATAATATTCTCCTCCTTTCCAATCCTACTATTATTTTTTTAGGTTTAAAAAATTATCGACACTGGTCTATTAGGGATGTATAATGCTATTTCAAAATTATATGAAAACTAGCTGGCCGCGTACGGTCCGGCCCTGGAGTTGGTGGGCTTAAGAGTTTGAAGTTACCTGCAATTTTGGAAAATAAATCTTATCGCCTAATACGTAATTTCTAAACCCTTGAAAGATAGTTTAAAATTTTCAAACAAATACTTTCCGTTCTCTCAAAGCGCCTTTGTAAAATTTTGTTCTTTCAAGCTGAAGCCCGTCACAGTCACTATAATATATATTATAGCAAGCTACCACACACTGAGAAATATATATTTTGCCTTCATTAAATTGATGGTCGTAATATTCAATAATGTATATTACGGTATCGCTTGGTGACGTCACAGAAATATATATTATAGCTGAGTGTGCGGTCACGCGAAAATTAGTATAGAAAATATATAGTAATATGCCTAGCCATAAAAATATTAATATATATTATAGCTAAGTCTGTGACAGGCTTTACAATCGTAAATAAACAAAGGCACTACACATAAAGCGAATATGGTCCACATTTATAACTGTGTTATACGACCTATCAAACAAACAAAACAAACAGCCATTATTCATCTTTACCTATCAATAATACTATAATATACGAGTAAGTCATGTTATAAAGAAATCATTTACTTACAAATCGTCTTTCGTTCCAGTCGTTTGGTTTTAAATTAATTTTCACGATAATGAGTTTATATGTTTATGGTGATAAAAATGTTGAAGTTCCTACTCAACTTCATTTTGGAAAATACCTAATGAAACAGTTGCTTATGGGAGGAGACACGATTGCTGTGGTAAGTAATAATAAAAAATGTTTGCTTAAATTTTCATTGGTCATATGTATAGTAGGTATATTATATTATCAAGCATCATTAATTTAAGGATATATTAACCGGTGGCAAGGATTATTGCCCTATTAACGCGGATAACGATAAATAAATAGATAGTAAGCTCAGTACTAGTTAACAATTTAGAAAATGTTAATAAAACATATACAAGAGGTTCATTCGTGAGGTGGGTTTGTTCGACACGGCTTTGCCACCTTTGGTATCCCAAGTTGCGATGATATTCCTATGAAAATAAAGAAAAACTCTCATTAAGGGTTGTAGCACCACTGGATTAATATTATGATTAGTAAAAAATCCTTTTCACTTAATCTTAAACAACTTTCCTAGACAAGTATGTCATGATAACCAACCTACTGTGCCCAACCTGGAACGTTTAGATCGGCGGAAATCGAATTTATGATGTATGTTAGCTTAATGTTTTGAATTAATTAAGACCACTAAGATATATTTCGAGTTTAAAGTATAATAACTATGCCACTAACGGTTTCAATTATTACTATGTGCAAAATAATTACAAGTATAATATAGGAACATGCGGATACTGAAGAAAAATTAACATACAAAGAGCTGTTGCAACATGCAGTCAATTTGGCCAGTGAACTGATGAAGCTGGGAATTGGAAGAGGAGATATTGTAGCTGTGGGTTCGGAAAAACGGAACACACTAATAATCACTATATTTGCTGTAACTTTTACGGGAGCTACCTATACTGCGTATGATTTGCATAGTGGAAAATGTATGTTTGATTTTTATTACAATACAATGTCCAAATGACGTTAGTAGTACTACCCATTACATGCATAGTTCGTTCATCAAAATTGGTTCATCTTAAGTGACCATGTAAAACTAGTTACAATGTTTAACCAATAATATAATTAGTAAATCAGAGAATGTTGCGGGGAGTTCCCAGAGTTCGTAGAACATTATCTAAAACTATACCTTTATGTTTTACACCATACCTGTCCGAGCCCAGGGGCACCATCTTTTGATCCGCCCTTGAGTATTTATAAGCATGAAAATCTATATATGTTTACCATAATTTGTGATTCATCCCGAAATGCCGTCGTTCCACAACTAGACGTTATTTAAAGCAGTTTTTGCCGCGCACCATCGCTATGTTGAACCAGCTGCACGCTGAAGTATTTCCGAACCAATTTGACTTATGGTCCTTCAAGAAGAAAATCACTTAACATCAGATGAGCCTCCTGCTCCTTTAGAATATAAAAAAAATGTTAACTTGCTTATAAATTAATACCTGATTCACCTTCATCATACATATACTCTAAACTAAAACTAATGGTACAGTACGAATTATTGAGAAGTTCAGAAAACAAATAATTAATTATTTTAACGATTTTTGCGATGAAACTAAGCGGAATCCCGCATGCTTGCTCGACTAGTATTCATATATAACCCTAAACCTATAATGTTTTATTATTTGTTTATTACGAATTCCAGTTTCTCTTAAGCACAAAATATCAGTGGCTCACCCTAACTATTTCATATTTTCTAAGTCGTTTTGGGGATTGTATAATGAATTATTATCACCTGAATTGATGACGTTAATGACTTTCGACGATGAACCAACATCAGCGCATTCAATAAAGTCCTATATAAATAATGACGTTGATATAAATAGCTTTGAGCCGGGGGAAGTGTTCGGGCAAATGGATATTGCGTTAATTCTTTATTCGTCGGGAACAACTGGACTGCCGAAAGGTGTTCGGTTAACTCATATGAACTGTATATTAAACAGTTTACCATACAAGTAAGTATCTAGAATCTTTTATACTGAATATGAATGATCCTTACAGATGTAAAATCCAATAAGTGTTTGACATACAGAAGTTACGATAAAAGTTTCTTTTTGTAATGAACTAAATAAAATTAATTCAAATTACATATTAACAATGTACTCTTAACAGATATTATATAAAAGTTTATTAAAATAATGACACAATATATGTGAAAGCACTGGTTAAAAATCATATTTGCAATTTTAGCACTAATTTTCGTTATTATTATCATCTTTTTTTTTAACTAATTTAAACATGTACCACGAAATAATTGTTTTCTAGTTACCCACAACACAGGGCCTCCCTAGTGTGGGGACTAGCGATTTATGATTTATGTCACAAACCCTTCTGTCATTAATAAAGTTTTTATTATTATTATTATTAATTCAATATAACTTACTATCAAGACGAAAGTAAAAATCTCTTTGTTCCAGACTGGACCGTGACATTACTAAGACAATTTTCACGTGCGGAGAGTGGTTTCATAACTATGATATATTTTCCTTATACAAATTTATAAGTGCTGGAAGTACAATAATTTACCTCTCTGATGTTACTTCGCAAAGAATTGTGGAATGCATTGATAAATATAAAGTATGTTTTTTATTAAAACTAGTACATTTTGTGTATCTACGCTGTGATAAAATGAAATAGAGGTGCCTTTGTGACAGGCGAGAAACGGTAGGTTAAATCAAAGCAAAGGATTTAAAATATCTGCGAAATTTACGAAAAAATGTATACTATAAAATAAAAATTATTTATATGATTGTATGGGTCCACTAAAAATCAGTGTTGCTGGCAACTTAGAGTTGAGTTAGGCTCATTTTTTCTTTTTTTCTTAATTTATTGTTAGTTACGTATAAATAATAATATTTTTTTGTATTTAAACTGAAAGTGCAATGGAATACCGGATTAACACTGTTCCTGCCCAGAAGATATTTAATTTCACTCTTTGATTACTTTCGCAGATTAGTATGGCGATGTTAGTACCTTACCTAATTGTCGGTCTATGTAAAGTGAATAATAACTACAACTGGGACTCCCTAAGAATCATTTATAATCGATCAGCACCTCTTCATAACAAAACAATCGAACAAGCTAAACAAAGGTACTACAAGTGGATTAATTCTTGAATTTACTTCCGAGATGGTTATTTTGTGTAACTATTACTAGGTGACTAACGGCAGAATCGATTTGTGGATAGCGGACAAAAGATTCCGTACCAGGCTTCCCTCTTTGTTTTATTGACTGGATAATTATTGGTTTGCCATCGGCTTACATATATTATTTCTATGTCTGTCATATTATTTATTAACATCACAGATTGATAGCTAACAATAATAGGTAACTTGAAAAAAACTTAACTATAAACAATCGTTATTTAAAATCAAAAGCCAAACTATTTAAAATCAAATCCATTTTTTTAATTGAAAGTATTTAATGCAGATCGTTAAAAAGTATTCGCGTAATTAAAACTGATCTCTAGATTTCAGAATGTTAAAATTTTTCAAGGTTATGGTATGACTGAGTGTGGTGAACTCACATCTGAAACATGGGGTCATATGGGACCAAAGCCTGGGAGTGTCGGAATGGGATCTCCAGGTATTATTTTGAAGGTAAAAAGCCTGTGGTTTTTTATTATTAAAAGATATATCTGACGGTAGATATAAATAGATTTCTTCCGCAACAAAAGAGTTACTTTTACATACTATTATCATATTAAATGAAACCAGCTGTAGCGAATAAGCATGTAGTTAATTATCACAATTCAACTGTCTAAGTTCCAGTCTAGGTTGGAGGAAGAGCATACCTTCCATTCCTACACATTCCAACTCTTTCGTAAGTTTTTTTTTGTTTACTCCTAATTATTAACATGAAATTTAGATTTCAGACCCGAAAACAGATGAAACGCTTGGTCCGAATCAAAGGGGTGAAATACGTGCTAAGGGTCCTGTTCTTATGAATGATTATATTGGAATAGATCCTGCTACGTATTTAGATAAAGATGGATTCCTTAAAACTGGCGATTGGGGATATTATGATAATGATAATTATTTCTATATAGTTGACAGGATCAAGGAAATATTGAATTATCGGGGTGATCAGGTGGGCACTGTCTTAGTAAATATTAAAACAGATCCGAAAACAGTTACAGGAACTTGAGGTGATGGTTCAGGTTGTAGCGCCACTGTTTTTTATAGCAAAATATTTTTTTTTGCAAATATGTATCTAGCCGTTCTCCGCGGTATTAAACTTTTATCTTGTTGCCGATTTATTTTGTAACTCTGATTAATCTCTGTCCAAATAAATAAGTTACTAAAAAAAATGGTCTGTGACTTAATTTATTTAACATAAGAAGACGAAAAAGTTTCATAATAACATAATAAAAGAATAAACAAATTACGAAACTGCGTGTATTTTTGTGATTTTGTCCACAATTTTAAACAACACACGACACAGGTCGGATTTTATTAACGTCTGTATTTTTAAACAGATATTTACGAGTACTTTAACTATAATATATGTAAGTATAACATAACCAATTTATCGACGCAGAAAAAGTAGTAAATTAATGTTCTAGGTACCGCCACTGGAACTAGAGACTATTCTACAATTACATCCAGAGGTCCTGGAAGCAGCTGTAGTTGGCAAATATGACGAGGTATGCGGAGACATTCCAACAGCCTTCGTTGTTCGTCAACCAAACGCCAAAGTGACAGCTAAAGAATTAATAGACTACGTTGCTATTGAGGTGAGTATATATATATTTTTTTATTTAAGGCTTCAATCAAATTTGTATAATCTTGAATCCAATTATGTAATACTAGCGAACCTGACAGAGGTCCAGTCAAATTCTAAATATAAGCCATTTGAAGCATAATTGGTCCAGCTGTTTAGGAAGAGTTTAGTTAAAGACACACGCATGGAATTTTCATATATACGTAGTCGGTCCCAAAGTTCTGTCATAAATGGAAATAATGATAAAAACAAAAGTACTGATCAGTTTGTAATGAGTGATATATCAATTCTTAGTACATTAATTAAGGAATAAAAAAAGCATAAAAATATTCGAAATAACCTCCCTCATTTTTAATACAGGCCCTTAAGCGTCGCGGCCAGTCGTCTATCGCAGCACGCACCATATTCGTGTCGATTTCAGTCACTGGTTTTTTTAAAGATGACTTCAGATTCTCCAAATTTTCATGAGGTTTATCACAGACCTTCCTCTCTAAGCCCTGTCATAATTTTCGGGTCCAAAGGATTAAGGTCCGGACTGGAGGAAGGCCAATCCTCATGTCTAATTAAGACGATGTTTTGACGCTCAAACCAGGCTTTAGTGGTCTTGGCTTTGTATGCAGACGCAGAGTCCTGCTGGAACACGAAGTGATGTCCCGCAAATAGGGTGCTGGACATGTCTTTGACAAGGCGATACAAAACCGTCTCTTGGTACACTGTAGCACTGGTTTTGACCCCCTTTTCGAAAAAAATTAACCTCAGTTAGCCCGTAATAGGACACTCCCAACCAAACCATTACTGATGATGGATGATGTCCATGTTGCACCCTTTGAACTTTATTTTCAGCTTCTTCAGAACTCCTAGCGTACACTGTATAATTCTGTTTATTGTACTTCTCTTCAATATCGAAAAATTTTTCGTCCGTAAAGAGGATATCACGGTGTCGGTTTTTCGCGTACCGCTTAAACAACACCCGCGATCTCTTAAGCCTTATTGCTTTTAGACGAGCATTAAGTAAGTGCCCACTCTTTTTTTGTATGCTCGTAGACCAAGATCTTCATTTAAAACCTTTTTTACTGTTTTCCTACTGACACCCATCTGCAAATCCATCAACTTCTGTTTTCGGACAGGATTTCTTACTATCCGCGCCTTGATAGCTTTGATTACTGCTGGTGTTCTTGCGGAGCGTGGCCAGCCAGTTCTTTTCTTGTCCTTAACACTGGAGACTTCAAGGTACCTATCAATAGTACCGTACACAAACCTAAGCGTTATATTCAAATTTTTGAGCAACTTGAAAATGGTACTCGGCGAGTGTCCACAGCGGTGCAACGCAATAACAACTATTCGGTTTACTTTCAATGTCCACTCCATCGTGAAAAATTACGGAAAGTTATTGTTTTTTGTTTTAAAACAATAATCAAACATTCCAAAATAGAATGCAATAATTTTTTTATAAAATCCTGCTCGAAATGTAGAAATAATGTGCTAGTGACAGAACTTTGGGACCAACTACGTATAATAAACTCATTTTATTTTGGAACATTAGTAGATTACAGAACCATACGCGATACAAGTATTAAAATACCTCTTCGGAAAACGGAAATTGTTATTTAAAATATGTGGTTTTTTATTAATCCCTATTCTGTAAACATTAACTGATTCTGTTTTACGCCGCGGTCTAATTACACCTGTATTTATCCTGCTAGCTTGTGCAATCTAATGCTCGCTGGACTTTAGAATTAATATATAATTGGAAACTAAAGTAAGTCTAGACGCCCGTAGATTAAGATGAAAATTTGAGGTCAAATTCTTATTACACAACAATATTTTAATCTTTATAATTTACAGTTTTTCTACATATAAAATCAATTCCTAAAGGAACGTAAAGGAATTTAAAATGCATATTCCAACGTTTCAGGTTCCATCGTTCATGCAGTTGGCGGGTGGTGTAATATTTATTTCAAAATTACCAAGAAATCCTCGAGGAAAAGTCCTACGCAGTGACCTAAGAAAACTATTGAATGATAATAATTAACTAACTAAATGAGTTGATGTAACCACAACATATTTTTAATGTTTAGGTTCGATTCCCAACAAATTAAATTCCGACATGTAATGTGGCATAGCAAGGTGGCTGATCACCTATTTAGTATTTAAAATAAATTTAGTTTTCTTATTTTTAGGCTTGCATGCATATGCATATAGAACAGACTGTTCTCTCATTAGACGTCGCGAATTAACATTTTTATTAAAATGGGATCATTATTGTGTGACATATATATTTAGTTATAATTTTCATGTTATTAAAGTATCATTTTTATATATTGTCTAAAAACATTAATTTCAACCCCAATTCAAACGCATTCATTTTTGGTATATTTTTCAAATCATTCTTAGAAAAATACATCTGAAGGATTTCCATTCCCATAGTAGTCTGGACGATGAACCCTTTTCATTATAGGAATGATTAAAAACTATATTGACATTCAACCTTTTGAACCAGTGGAGGCAAACAGATAATTCAATGATTATTTACCCATCGAGAATCACTGACCTGCCTATAGGAGTGCATTATTCTTATAAGCCATTCCAAGTTTAAAAAAACAAATAGATACCTTGGTAGATATCGACTCCAAACAGACCAATTAAAAAAACAATGGCTTTATAACTTTTTAGGTTTGATCCTCAGATTAGTTTATCTGTTTCGTGATCATTGGTTTTTTTTCTAATAGGCAAGAAAACCAGCCAGATCAGCCTTCTGTGCCTTACACACGCCATCGCCTTTTGAATCAAAATGAGTATATTGACAGAAAGTCCATTGGTATACATACAGCCGGGGTACGAACCTACGATCTCAGGGATAAGAGTGGCATCCTGAAGCCACACAACTCTTTTACCAATAATTATTGGTCTATATTTGGGCCAATTAAACCTTGATACATTAAACATTTCTCTCTTTAACTCTCTAATACCTCTCTCAAAAAATCTCGAGATTGTTGAAGCCTAAACTTCAAACACGTTATAAGGGCAAATGTTATATTAAATTCAAATAAACGAAGAAATCCTCCCTCATTTGAAAATCGTTACAAATGAGCAAATAAGTGAAATATATTTCTTTAGCTACGTCGTATATGCAAGTGGCGGGTGACGTGAAATTCATCACACAAGATCCGCGTGGAAAATTTTTGCGTCGCAAATTTTTTTCTTCAAGTATAAACTTCACTAAAGTGAGGGTGACTGAATATGAAATTCAATCTTGCCATTGCTATACAACAATTATGGCTAATAATTAATATTATGTTGACTTAATTTTCTACAATACCTACTTACACTAAGATAGGTAATGTTCATTAACAGTCTTTAATGTTCTATAATGTTTTGACACTATGTTCGTGTTTCCGAGATACCGCACTAATATTCACTATACAACACTTAGTTTAGTAACTCAAAAGGTATCGTCGCGCGAATGAAGAAAAATAACTAACAAATGTATATACTATATATATATGTGTGAATTTGTTTAACTGTAGAATTATAATTATATGTTTGTTTCTTTAGAATCACGGACAATTTTCTTTCGGAAATAATTAGTGGCTTCTTTACACGGACCAAGGACGTCAAAGCTCCGTTTTTTCATACATTATCAATACTTCGTATAAATAAATTACATTTCTTTATGGACTACACCTTTACAACATTAGTATAATTTTTTCTATCACATATAAATATCGCTTTATTCCTAAAATATTTTTATTCACAGATTACATACTGTTTGTCAGTATAACTTCAATGCAATAATACTTGAGTAGTAGGTATATCGATCAAAATATGAAAGCGCTATTCATTCTATCCGGTTACGGAAGCGTCTGGCTGTTGGCCAAATACAGAGAGGAGTCTCGTTAAGGGGTCACGGTCCTAATTTAGAAAATTCGATTTTTTTGGTACAGTTATGAAAATTCAACTATCTGCATTTTATAACGAAGAAATTGAACATTGTATTGGTAGTCCGGTCAATTTAGACATTCGATCATAAAATTATCTATAAAAAATATAAATGAATACTTTTTCTCCTACGACCCACCGTTTGTGAGATATAACGATTCAAAAAGTTGTAAAAGTTGTTATCGTCATAATATTCACACGTTTCTACACCGCCTATGAGGTAGTGTTCTTAGCGCGTTTTTTAACGTTTCCCCATACATTTTTTATAGATAATTTTATGATCTACAATTTTTTCTAAGGTATTTTTATACTAAAACTTACCGTTTTGCTGGAAATCGCAAAAAAACTATTTCTTTTGACCTTAGGTCTTGAATGAAAATTTTCCATACACGAGAGTGATGTGGAACTTTTAAATATTATTTATAATTATGTTTTGAACAATTTTACTGATTTTCAGCTTGTTGGAATTTTATGTACCTTCACTCTAATTTTTTGGTCTAGATTGACCGGACTATGGTCTGTATGTGACAGCTACGGATGTTCCTTACGACAACTGCAATCAGTATTAGCACTGGTAAATAAGGAATTTGTACGTAACTTCTAAGCATTCGCATTAGGTTGAGTTGTTTTTTTGTTAATTATTTATGCACTTTTTATACTTTCCCTCTGTATGTGTTTCTTTTTTTATCTAAATAAGTGGCGTTAGCAACGTCTTAAGGTCTTGGCGTCAGATTTCTGAATCTGTTTCATGATCATTTTAAAATCTAATAGGCAAGTACGTGATCAGCCTGCAGTGCCTGACACACGCCGTCGACTTTTTGGGTCTAACACATGTCCGTTTCCTCACGATGTTTTACTTCACCGTTCAAGCAAATATTAAATGCGTACATAGAAAGAAACTCCATTGTGCACATCTGGGGACCGAACCGACGACCTCAGGTATGAGAGTCTGAGTCTGAGAGCTGCTCTGTTTAAATTTTTTATTCTATTATAATTATTAGAGTTGCCTGGAAGAAATCGCTTGTTAGCGATAAGGCCGCCCGTTGCCTAATAGTAATAACTTATATAACCTGTTTTTTTTGTTTATATGTTTATGTATAAGGTAACGAAATGTAAATAAATAAATAGGTTGTATTCTTTGAAATATTCCTACATCTTACTACAGCTAGCTACTACATTAATTATAATGAAAACTCAAATTTTATTCGAGTGAATAATTTTATATTAACTTATAGTCTCGAGGGAGAGATTCACTCACCTAATTCTCTATCCAAAATTCCCAAGCTCGAGCTAAGAACTCTTAGGTCTTACATGTTTGGGCTTTGTGTTTATCTAAATATAGCTTCATTTTCGGTAACGCACTCAAAGTCAAAGTCAAAATCATTTATTCATATAGGTAACACATTGTACACTTATGAACGTCAACAAAGAAATATACATTAAATGATTCTAATTTTACATTTACTGCTAGTTCTCAAATCAAGGGCGTAGGAGAAGAACTGGCAATAAACTCTCCGCCACTTTTTTTAATTTACAGAACATTTGTAAGGAGCTGCAACCATTTCACCATGTTCCACATGACATCTTAAGTAATTAATAATAATAACATAAATTAAAAACAAAGACTTGTCCTCTATCAGCAGGAGGCATGGTCAAATAGGAGTACGCACTTACTTTCTCTTGGGAACAACAACAAACACATAATCGAAATAACTAACACTTGCGAGCCCTCTGGCAGAGTGAGTCCATGAGTCACTTAACTTCAGGCCTCCCGACCGCTTGCCTCCTGTTCTATAGAATAAGCTATATTTTTATAGAAACTGCTGGGATTATAGTTACCATCATCTTACAGAATAGCCTCGGTACGGTTATGGTACGCGAAACGTGTGTGTGTAATATTTTAAACTTAATAAGATTTGACGTACTTTAATTCTTCAATATTATAACTTATAAACATAGGTAAGTAAGCAAAAATTTAAAAAAAAATCATAGAAAAAAATGTTTTACAGAAAATTAAAACTCTTTTCAAAATTCAATTTTTCTACTAATTACTAGGCTTCACATGATTGCTATTACCAAGACTAATGAACATGAAAACGTGTAAGTGCGTAAGTAATGTAATGTAGTTATAAAGCAAAAAATTATTGTCTTAATAATTTCAATGTAAAATTGCAATGCATAAAAATCTAATGTTGTGTTAATCTGATTTTGTCGTAACCCGTTGTAAGATAAGCTTTAGGATCGATATATAAAGTAATTGTTATCGTATTCTGTTTATTACATTATGTAATAGTTCAACGCTCTATTTAAATAAGTAATGAACGGAATTTGAATAGGAGCCAAGTACCAACAATAGGGGTACATACAAGTATTATATTCACGTTATTTCACTTTATACTTCTTTTGTATTGTCCTGTGCGACGTTTAATTTAATAACAAAGCAGAAACTTAAACAATAATAGTTGTTATCATTTTTCTTATATACATACGGAAGTAATCTCGGAGAACCCTGGTTTATTCAAGACGTTGATAGCAATATCCTGGATCATCAATTCAAACGATTTCCGTCTCCAAATAGAAGGCAAATGAAATATCATTAATAGACATCTGGGTCTTATTTTTTTATCACCATATAGTTACAAACTCTTTAATGAACTAAAAAATGTCACAAGACCAAGTTTAGTATTGTAACATTAAAATAATAGGTAACATATTTATACATTTTTTCTATGTAAGGAAGTAACAACATTAGTACAAATCATATACTTGCTCGATTAGAAATTAAGAAGAAAATCTCCTCAATGTTTCACGGTTCACAGTCGCTATCATTCCTAATTTTCACATAAAAACATTTTATAAAATTTGTGTTTGCTTTATGAACTTATTTCACTCGCAAAGTTTTTACTACATATAACTGAATATAAAAGGTTGTTAAAAATTTCAACTAAGTGCAAACTATAGAATAACTGTAACAGCGGACCGAACAGAGAAAAGCAGACACTTACAAACTTTACACTGAACTCAGCCACAGAGGAAAATAGATAAATCAGAAGTATTTTCTTTGTTGACCTCGGCATGAGATTTCTTACACCG